TGGTCCACTGGTGCATACCAACCCTAAGGGTCATAGAATCCTTATCGGAGCAGCCTCTTTCGTAGCGTCTGGTGGATGCCACTCCGGAATGCCTGCAGGTAATTTATTACTAACATTAAGATTTATTCGTTTTACAAAATAATCATCGTAAAGTAATTCTCATTTGCATATTTTTTTCTTAAAGAGCGGATTTTTTATCTTATTTATATAATATCACATTAGCAGCCTTTAACTGTCCACTGCTGGACATATGCCTCTCCTTAGAAAGGAGGTTTTGGCCTACTATACCACGCTGGCCAAATGATTATGAATATTTATATAATAATAGGTCCAACGCATTGGCAGTTTATTGGCAGTTTATTTACAACTTTTTAGTGGGTAAAAAATTCAACTCCCGAGAGGCAGTACAAAATGCCTTTGAAGAGTTTGTCGCCTCCCGTCCAGCTGATTTTTACAAGAAGGGCATCAATAAACTGCCAATGCGTTGGCAAAGATGCGTCGATTGCATGGGTGATTACTTCGAATAACAGAAATAAAAAAGTTTGAAAAAATAAGTACTTTCACTTATTGCATACAAAACGGCAATTTCAAATACCTATTATATTCTCACACATCTCACACACGGCCGTCTGATCCCAAACTAGGCAGAGCCTGTACTATGGTAACCAAACTGCTATATTATAGATAAAGTTCACCCATCAATAGTATAATAGCAATAATATTATTCTATTAATAGTAATAAATTATTAACTTTAAATAATTTATTTCCAAACCTAGTTACAGAAAGGGAAACACATATATTTAAAATATGTTTGCAGATATACAGCAATAAACGTAATTTGTAATATTATTTAATTATTCAATTTACTGCTGTCTTAAGCTACGAACTCTAAATAGTGCCAAAACTTTGGGTTTGTTTTTTTAGTTTAACATTCTGGTTCAGTGCAACACTCATAGTTAATTTTTTTTCAGCTTTCATTCGTCCTGGATATTTCCATGACTGGTTCACAGAAATTTCCGGCATTGACTTTGAAAACCAAGACGAACAATTTATTGAAAGAGAATCCTTGTCTCTTAACTAGATGACGGCGGCAGTGAAGAGAGCGATATGAACAGAAAGAATATAATGTAATTTTGTATGTCAAACGTTCTAACATACACTTCTTATTCATCTCAAACTTCACAAAATTAAATTAAATTTAATTCCACCAAACATTTTGTAATTTAATCTCACCATTTCAAAACGTTGAGTGCTACCAACTGTGGATAGTGATATCTCGTATAAATATTTTTACTTTCATGAAACCACATTTAATAAAGGTATATCGAAAACCTCCTTTCTAAGGAGAGGCCTTTGTCCAGCAGTGGACTAGTAAAGGCTGTTGATGATGATGATGATGAAACTATTTGAATTTGATTTGGTAGATTATAGATCCTTAGTAAGAAAAGGAAGATCCTTCATCGATACAATTACTGACACACCAATTTGCCAAATTACTAAAAATAGCCCAGTGTTTCTTAAATTCGTACTACTCATAATATAGTTTTATAGATTTCATAAACACTGGAATAGTGGAAGTGATTGCTGAACCATGGCAGAGACACACTTCAGCACACATGGGCTTGGCATGACCAGAGTGAGACCACGGTCTGAGGTTAAGTAATTATAAAACTGCATTGAGTGAAGTTACCAAAGGCTTCCTGTCCCTCCTCCTCTAGCTCTAGGAAGGGGCACTCACCTCAAAGAGCGGCACAGCCCTGATTTATCTTAAGTTGCAGGTGTTAATGACCTCCGCTCATGGATAAACGATATTTATATCTGTAAGTAATTTTTTTCAGATATTTATACAAGTCGGACTTTACAGCTAGAAGGCGCCGGCATTTCCTAAGACTCGCTCTGGGAAGAAACGCCGAAAGAAACCAGGAGTCTTTTTTGTTATTAGTCCGTAAACAATGTTAAAGAAAACTATACGAGTACAGTATAGGGTCTGGGTTGGCCGTTTGAAGAAAGGGGTGTAGTTTTAAGTCAGCCTGTCCATACAGACGGCATTCGGACCCCAGCCATCGTGTAGCTTAACCGATATTAGTCAAGATCAACGACGCAAAGCGTGACACGTGTCCATGGGCGGCGGTAGTTGCTTACCATCCGGTGACCCGTCTGCATGATTCAAGTTCAACAATATGTGATATGTCATCAGATGATCCTTCTGATCGTAGGACACTTTCCTTTGGAGATACATTTATTTTGTTCTCATCAAAATGTTTTTTTTATGGAATAGGAGGCAAACGAGCAGACGGGTCACCTGATGGAAAGCGACTAAGCCACCCTTGAACGCCTGCAACTCAGGAGTCACAAGCGCGTTACCAGAATTGATGAAGGAGTACGCTCTTTTCTTGAAGGCTCGAAGGTCGTATCGGTCCGGTAACTTGTTCCACAGATATAATATTTTCTTTTGTTTATAGTTTTCTGATTGTTATTAGTATTATGTTACGAAATTTGTTTGTTGTATTATGTTATGAAATTATGTTACTTTTATAATTTTTCTTTATGTTATTGGTGTAATTTTGCCTGTTAAACACTATTTAATTTGTATTTGTATCTTTTGACATATTTTGTCAATTTTGTGGACATGATATTAATGTGTATTGTATGCTTTTAATTGAAATGTTACTGAAGGACTAATTTTGCATGCCTTAATCGGCCGAACATGATTTACTTTGCATCCAATGACACCTTAGATGTTACATGACTATGTATTATGTTCAGCAATGAATAAATGATTGATTGATTGATTGATTATTAATACATTTTCACTAATAGTTATCATCTCTATAAATCAAATAAAACTGACAATGCGCCCAAACAGTTAATCTTTCTTTACCTTTTTCACCTCATTGTTTGATTTCTCTTTAATATTTACGGGATAAACTTGTACTGTTCTGTTCTATTGTTCTGTTTCCAATCGCCAAGGATGTCGAGTAAGACACCTACTAACACAAATAACTCAGTAAATCCTGGCTGCATCGTCCTTTCTTGATGTGTGTTAAAAAACTAAAGCAATAGGTAATTTTATGATAAGACCATTGTTTTTTCCAAATCAGCGTAATAGTAATCGTTCCTTGATTAGGGAAATTTAATCTGACACTCGTTAATCTATGTACTATTAATTATTTTGTTTATCATTTTTTGTTATTACCTATAAATGTACGCTTGCAATAAACAGGTAAAATTCTGTATATTAAAGAAATTTTTAGGGTTCCGTACCTCAGAATGTAATAAAGGAACCCTTATAAGATCACTTTCTTGTCCGTCTGTCCGTGTGTCACCACCGATTTTCTCAGGAACGGGTAGACCTAGCAAGTTGAAATTTATACCAGATACTGAGGTCTATGGTCCCTATTAGTTGTATAAAAATCAAGGTCCCGAGTCAACACGATAAAAAGATATGGGCAAATTTCGATTTTCGCGAAAACTTGTAAGTACCAAAATTTACCTTAATTTTCAACATTTTTTATTTTTCACCATTTTCTCTTTGTTTGTGCTGTACCTTGCTTTTAAACAAAATTGACAATTCTAGGTCAATGGGAAGTACCCAATAGGTTTCGGGTCGAAAACCTATATGGTAGTTCCCGTTGACCTAGAATCACGAAATTTGGCAAAAAGAAACGTCTTACAGCACAAATAAAGGAATAATTCCAAAAAATAAAAAAAGTTTAAAATTAAGATAAATTTTGGTACATACAAATTTTCGTGAAAATCTGCGTAAAATCTGGGTAGGTACGGAAAACTCGGCGCACGAGTTTGACTCGTACCTGGCCGGTTTTTTTTTTAATCATAGAGACACCTAAAAGGTGTCTCTATGATTTGGTAATGAGGCTAAACCTGTATTTTTTTAATTTCTCTTTATCTGTGTCTTGGCAGTGCCTTATGCCGAAACTACTAAATGGATTCAAATGATACTTGGTATGGTCCGATTTCAAACTACGGGGTAGGACAATTAATATATTTGATGATGAACAGGCCCGTCTCTAATCTATTGGAGGCCCTGGGCAAATTAGCATAATAGGGTCCCTACGAACTTAGCTGAGCACTATTTTGTTAAAATGGACAAATAAAGTATTGTAGTCAGTCATTACAAATGGATTTTTCGAAATTTTTGGTGATAAATATTGATTTTCGATTTCTGATCTGGCAGGAGTCGGGCCCCTATTATTCGAGGTGCACTAGGCACGTGCCCAGAGTGCCCAGTGGGAAAGAGGGGCCAGATGATGAAATTTAGAACGTGTACTTAGTTGTGTAGGCTTATGCTTCTCTTTAGAAATGAGGTTTGGGCCTCCTATACCACACTGGTTAGACGGGTTGGCATGGCGTTTGTTTCAAGTTTTCCCTCCATTTGCAGTACTGTTGTCCTTTTTTTTGTTAGAGGGGGCAGACGAACTGACGTGTCACCTGATAGAAAGTGACCATCGCCGCCCATTGCATGAACGTCTGCAACTTAGGAGTCACAAACGCGTTGCCGGCCTTTTAGGTAGGAGTACTTTTAGGTAGGAGTACGCTCTTTTCCTTCCTACGCAGGATACTCCCTTAGTCGGTTCTTACGACACCCACGGGATGAATAGAGGTGTACTAGTAACATTCTGTATTCTCCATGATTATAATATTAATTCAGATATTCTATACCAATAAGTTTCGAGTACCTAATCTCTCAACAGCTAATGAGGTACCTCATTACATCTACGACAGAATGAAATTTAGGTTTACCCTCCAAAGATTTGCGATCAACTTATCGCAAATCTTACATACATACACAAATATGGAGAGCGAAGCCATGGACATGTCAGTAGTTTAATCACAAAGATTACTGAGGCCTTTGATATAAATTGACTTATCAAATTTAAATTAACTATCTTATCTGAACAGTGATTTCAGTATTAATAGCGGAGGCAGCTAAGTTCACCCCTTAGTTGACGATTGAACGGCGATCAGAAAATTAGCCAAGATGTTGACGAAAGCCGTTTTCTTGTTGCTGGCCGTAGCCGTTATTCAGGTACCTTTTTATGTGAAAACTGTGATCTCCTCAAATATATACTGAAATAATGTTATTCTGCCTTCCTTATAACTTTTCTGCTTTTTGGAAGTATCTGGTTATTATCATCCTTATGCCAATCAAAGGCTTAATGGACAACAACTGAAGTGTCTGTATTTATGTTGTTGCAATATTGGCTACTTCTGCAGTTTCGCCGTTATCCAGAAAGACTTCGTTTTTTGTGGTTAATAGCTAATGGTGAATTAAACAGTTCGAATCTATCTTTAAGACCGGTTGCGGCCTCGCCAAGTTTTTTGATATCTCTTGATAAATAGATTACTCTTTAAGTAACTAAAATATGTCTTATTTGAAATTTAGGCCTTTGAGTTATCCTGATGTTTCGTCCATATTATTTTTTGACTCCCAGTACTACTTTTTTCCTTAAATTTGGAAGTAAATCGTTTACAATAAGCAAGTTCTTTATTAAGCATGGGTGTTGTCACATAATAATTTAATTTATTCTCTTACAGATACAATCTGAATATATAGAACCGAAGTTCTTTGAAGATATGGTCCCAGTAGGTAAGGAGAAAACAAACAACGTTTGTCATAAGCCCATTAAAAATAATCTTACCACTACCATTAAATTATCTTAGGTAATTTAGTACCTATCTTAAATTAAAATATAGACAATATTGATTCAAGGACTACGTGCAAGCTTAAAAATTTTTGCTAGTTATGGCAAAAAAGTTTCACGTGTTAATAATTTTTAACATTATTTTTACATTAAATTTAATAACAGAAACAACTTAAACAGTATTTCACATGCTACTGGAGGGCTACTGAGGTAGCGTAATGAAGCAGTTTAGTTTTCTTGAGTACAAGACAACAAACGAGGAATGGGGACTAAGAATAAGATGTTCAATTCTTGATTGCAAATTTATCGGCATTGAGTTTAGTCTTCCAGGGGCTAAAATATTTTGCCAAATCATCCAAATGATATATAGTACAGTACATAACCATCCATAGTACACCTGATTGAAGCTTCAAACCCCGATTTATTAAATGCAAACCCATTTTAGCTGGACGTATAGTCTCGGGATGGGACGCTGTACTCGGTCAACACCCACACCAAGCACACCTACGTTTAGAACGCGGCTCTGGATTTGCTGTTGGCTGTGGAGGTTCCTTTGTACACCCAGAGTGGCTGATCAGCGCCGCGCATTGTACCGCATTGTAAGTTTTAAAAAAAGTCATAGATTTAAATCATAGATTTAAATTAATTGTTTATAAAATTATAGAAAATGTTTGGCTATGCTTTTTAATCTAGTTTGTATAAATAACTGGACTATTGACTAAATCCTACACTACATATTTTTCTGATTCGATTCATCCCTGGTGTTTTATGTAAAGCTGATCAAATTTATTTATTTATTTTACTCATCTGCAAACATATCGATTAAGGCGGTCTTAATGGCGTACTTAGGTGATCTAGAGACCTGCTTTTCTTTTCCTTTTACAGTATAAATAACATAGGTACTATTTCTGTTTATAATAGGAGTGTTAACATCTTTGTCCGTGGTGGTGCGGTTTCCCTCGATGAAACACCTGAGTACCTCGAAGAGACGAACCAGTATTGGAATCATCCTACATATGACAGCTCAGCACCTGGTCGCGTTCAACCGAACGATATCTGCCTCATTAAGCTGCAAGTACCTGCGACTTTCACAAGTGAGTTCTTATACTATGTTGTAAATAACGGTGCGTCGGAAACAGAAATACGGTTTAAGATCATTATTTTGACTGCAGTGTGTTGTGGGTTCAAACCCCACATGGGACGACAAATTGTGGATTTATTCCTACTGAGGGAGGGAGTTGTCTTTAAAAAAAAAAAAAAAACTGATATTTTGAACTAGTTATAACATTTTTGTTAACGTATTTTGCATTTTTGTTAAAGTTTTTGTTAAAAATGGAAGTAACATGAGTAAAAGATAATTTACCACATACGGTCTAATATCTGCAATTTAATCAATCAAGTGCATCCACGTAGCAAAGCATACGTAAAATTGTACTTAAAACTAAAACATGCGTGTTTTCATTAATTCATTCATTCAATGCTCTCTAACATAGTAATAACGTCAAAAGTAAATCATTCCTTACCTACTTATTTTTGCGCCACGAGGATTTTCATAAGGCTTTTTTGATAACGATGATTGCGTGACCTTCGAAAAAACAAAACTGATTGTTATTATCACGACGTCACGATGATATATGCAAGTAAATAAATTGTAAATAAGTATGGTAATGTAATGGTAATGGTAAGTAAGTAAATGGCAGTTTGAAAAAAAACGTTAACGAACGACGAATTGAAGGCACAACGTCTAGATTTATAAATCATAGATATAAATCTTTTTTTTTTTTGTAGACAATCTCGCACCAATCCGCGTTCAATCAGCAGCGGATGCATCTCAAGACTTCTCACAGGTAAAGTTGGTGGCTAGTGGATTCGGCCATACTTGGACCGGCGGTGAGTACCCAAGATTCTACTAAGGTTACGATTGTATCCCAACAAACAAACACAGTTGAGTCCTGGAAAACTTGACGTATCTCAGTATTAGAATTGAAATTACATTGAATTAAGTAAGTGGCAATTTACAGCACGTTTAAGTTCGAATTTGAAGCATAAGAACTGGCTAAAGAGACTGGTTGTTATAGAGGATGATGCTCTAGGGGAACATAAATGCCTGTCGCTTTACCTGTATGCATCTAATCGCTTAGACTAATAGACCTAAAAGTTCAAAGTAAAGTAAAAAACTATCACCAAAGTATTACACGTCTGTATTCCCATTATTATGACGTAATAATGCTTTTGTAACAAGTAATCACTTTATTTATCTTTCTGTCTTCATTTCAGGTCCCGGGGCCCGCATACTCCAATGGGTGTTCCTACGGGGTGTAAGCAATGCTCATTGCAGACTCACCTATGGCTCTATTGTCACTGATGCAACTGTCTGCGCACATTATTTCAACGTGACATCTCAGTCTACATGTCAGGTAATTTTTAGAACTTCGGGCATATGGAATTGAGCCAAATAATCTTGTAAAAACATTGTTTTCTGTTTAAACTATTATAAGTACTCTCATGTTTTATCTTTAGTGACAACTTTTATAGACTGCCTTTAACATATTGCAACTATGTGTAGTCAAATAATATGTCTAGTTTATTATTTGTCTTTCTCAACTCTTTCTCTTTAACAAAACCATTTAGTTTTTTCAAAATTTTCTTAATTCTCATATTTCATAATCTCTTCTCAGTAAGAAGTGCTTCAATTTAGTGAGCATCTGCAGTTGGTTTCCTCTGTCAAACAATATTAAAAGTTATCTTTTTACGTACTAGGGTGACAGCGGTGGTCCACTGGTGCATACCAACCCTAAGGGTCATAGAATCCTTGTCGGAGCAACCTCTTTCGGAGCGTCTCCATCATTTGGTGGATGCCACTCCGGAATGCCTGCAGGTAATTTATTTCTAACATTAAGATTTATTCGTTTTACAAAATAATCATCGTAAAGGGTTTGCTACTTAATTATTATGGGGATTACGTTAATTCTCATTTGAATATTTTTTTCTTAAAGAGCGGATTTTTTATCTTATTTATATAATATCACATTAGCAGCCTCTAACTGTCCACTGCTGGACATACGCCTCTCCTTAGAAAGGAGGTTTTGGCCTACTATACCACGCTGGCCAAACTGCTAATGCGTTTACAAAGATGCGTCGATTGCATGGGTGATTACTTCGAATAACAGAAATAAAAAAGTTTGAAAAAATAAGTACATTCACTTATTGCATACAAAACGGCAATTTCATAGGTAAATTATATACCTATTATATTCTCACACATTTCACACACTGCCGTCTGATCCCAAACTAGGCAGAGCCTGTACTATGGTAACCAAACTGCTATATTATAGATAAAGTTCACCCATCAATAGTATAAAGCAATAATATTATTCTATTAATAGTAATAAATTATTAACTTTAAATAATTTATTTCCAAACCTAGTTACAGGAAGGGAAACACATACTCGTATATTTAAAATATGTTTGCAGATATACAGCAATAAACGTAATTTGTAATATTATTTAATTATTCAATTTACTGCTGTCTTAAGCTACGAACTCTAAATAGTGACAAAACTTTGGGTTTGTTTTTTTAGTTTAACATTCTGGTTCAGTGCAACACTCATTGTTGATTTTTTTTTCAGCTTTCATTCGTCCTGGATATTTCCATGACTGGCTCACAGAAATTTCCGGCATTGACTTTGAAAACCTAGACGAACAATTTATTGAAAGAGAATCCTTGTCTCTTAACTAGATGACGGCGGCAGTGAAGAGAGCGATATGAACAGAAAGAATATAATGTAATTTTGTATGTCAAACGTTCTAACATACACTTCTTATTTATCTCAAACTTCACAAAATTAAATTAAATTAAATTCCACCAAACATTTTGTAATTTAATCTCACCATTTCAAAACGTTGAGTGCTACCAACTGTGGATAGTGATATCTCGTATAAATATTTTTACTTTCATGAAACCACATTTAATAAAGGTATATCGAAAACCTCCTTTCTAAGGAGAGGCCTATGTCCAGCAGTGGACTGTTAAAGGCTGTTGATGATTGATGATGATGATAATATCGAAAAGTTTTATTAGCATATGCTTTCTGTTCGAGTACTGCGCTTTTATTTCTACGTGTAGTTGGACTTAGTATATAGTACCGCCTTTGATCGCGGATGAAACCTTTGTCTTACAATTGCTAGCAAAAGTCTTTACATCTGCTAAGTCTTGTATTGTTGAGTGGACTATACATTTGCTACAAGTAGGTAGGAGGCCGTGAAATATATATTACTTAAACAAGTATGGTATGTGTCGTCGGCAAGTAACTTGGAAAAATAAAATTGATTAAAAAGAGAGAAAAAAGAGAAACGGGTCCAATATCGATCCCTGCGGCATTGCCATTTGCATAGTGAATAAGGATTTAAATCATTTTTATCCTAAAAAAGAACAGATTGAAATCTTTTCCTAAAATTGCAATTGTCTACCGCTGAGTCAAGATTGTTGATCGGCAATATTGAGCATTCTCAACTTTGCTACTGAAACAAAGTTTCAAATGCGTTTGTGATGACGCAAAAAATACCGCTGACATCCTTAGCTTTCTTTCAGGCAACGAACACATCAGTAATGCCGGGTTCAGTTGTAACAAAGGATTTTAATAAAACTGTATTGTATAAACTATGTATTATATAACCTATGGACTGTATATGTCTGAAAATAAATATTATTATTATTATTATAACAATAATACTGGCGGAACCAAAACATGCCTGAAATTACTTCAGTCTACTGTTCCTGGGTTTTAAAAGAGAAATGATTATAGTATAGTTTAAAAATACTATGATCTATTCACAAATTAAATATTAACACTAAGTAGGGAGCTGAAATTTTAATTATTGACAAATGTTTAATCAACCATTCCTACAGATCTTTAGTAAATTTAATTATTGCTTCAAACTGAAAACTACAGAATAGGTGGGTACATATGTTTTTTTAGGAAAGTAAATATAAAATATCACAAGCAGATGAGGAATCTAGAGTTTCTTCTTCTCTATTCTTTTAATTACAAATCAATTTAATTAAGTTAACTTGTTTTATTAGTAGGATTTGTAGGCGATTGTTAAATTGCAACCTTCAATCGTCACCATTTTGCAAAAATTCTAAAAGTGGCAGATTATACCAAATGGGGTTAAGAAGGCGTAATAACGGGTGACCTTAAAACTTTCAAATAAATAAATTTAGATAAGATTAACAATTTTCATTCTCTTGATGACGTCGAAACTACTAATTATCTTCTGTGTATAATTAATCAGCGCGATTACGCTGATTTAAGATAAACAATTAATTACAATTTTTGAGCACGTTAATAAAAATAATAAACAATACCTACTTGATTACTTAATGTGGTCAATGCCGCAGCAAATCTTAGCCTTCTTTTAGAAAACTTAAGCGGTTACTGAATTTATTAAACTTTTAATAAGTTAGTACCTAACCCTTCCACTTTTTTAGTTTTCACAGAATCCACTACAGGTTGACTTAATCTCTTCTTCTTCTCTCTAGAAAATATTAATAATAGGTTATACAGCCTATCACCATGTAATCTGAACTGTGCTACTCTACTGAACTACCATCTCTGTAAAAAGAGAATTTCTCATATGTTGTATATGTGTTAGTCGCTATCTTTCTCGCTCTGCTGTCACTGCCTGCAGAGAGAGAGAGTAAGTAATCCAACTACTTGCATTGCGCATTTTTTATTTAATAACACGAGAACAATGCATCAGAGATCGAGACATGACGGGTATGATTTTTAGAGAATTTAATGAGGAATAAAATTAGAGAGTCTTGTTTCTCTACAATCAATGGCTTTCGAGTTATTTATTTTTGTTATGAAAAAATTGCTGCCGTTCTTTAAACAACCAGGTATAGTTCATTTTTTTTTCATATTTAAAAATGTTATTAAAATACCTTGACCAAAATGTATAAATGCAATATTTGTCAAATAGCATAAGGAAATTCTTTCCTATCGGGTATCCCACGACACCATATGGCTTAATATACTAATATTGCGACTTCTAAATACAACGTAAAACATATTTCAATTAAATAAAACACACCGAACTATTGAGTAACAAGGATGATTAGTACATATACAACTGCCCAACATCAACAGGTAGCCTTTCCCTCTGTGTTGGAGGGACACCCGTTCATTCGACTCATCAAAATACATAAAAACTGTTAGAAGCTCAATCGAACAACAATGATTTATTGTTTAACATACGAGGATGTGTGAGAATCAAACGACCGTCTTAAAATGCTGCTTTTCGATAAATTGGTACATAAGCAAAAAAGTCCATTACTATATTTAAAAAAGATTTTTCTAAATCGGTTTACAAAAGAAAGTTTTGAGGTAAAAAAAAACGGGTCAGGTACGAGTCGAACTCGTGCGCCGAGATTATGAGATTTAATGTAGATTTTCGCGAAAATTTGTAAGTACCAAAATTTATCTTAATTTTCAAAATTTTTTTGTTTTTTGGAATTATTCCTTTATTTGTGCTGTAAGACGTTTCCTTTCACCTCCTCTTTTGTGTTTTTAAAGTCGGTTATAAATATCGGATATCAATCTCCAAAGGTCCTTAGAGAGTAAGGAACACTTACTACTTAGGTTTAAAAAGTCTAGGAGTATACCGTAGTAGGTCTAACTTTCTATAGGCCTAACTCGCGATATGATCTATATCGTAGTAGGTCTAACTATCTTTTTGCCAAAATCGCGATACAACTCTGTTTGCTGCAAACTCACTTTAGTGTAAACAATATTCTACACAGGAAACAAATTGGCTTCAGAAGAGGTCGCTCCACAGGTGATGCTGGTGTTGAACTTCTGAAAAGTATATTTGGCACCTGGGAGGATAAACAGGATGCGCTGCGTGTGTTTTGTGATTTGTCTAAGGCATTTGATTGCGTTTTTGATGAAACATTGATCAGGAAATTGCATCACTATAGAATAAGGAATACTGCTTTGGATCTTCTTATCTCTTATTTGGGTAATAGGATCCAAAGAGTGGAAGTTAATGTCGAGAACTGGTTCACCGTTAATAACTTACTTAAAAAAAAAAACGTATTGCATTAGATTTTTTTACACCTAATGTTAAGAAGATAAAAACCAGTGTTCTGATATATGGAAAGGAGTTGGATCTTTAAGTTTTTTGGTTTTTTTATCACTAAGTTTTTGAGTATAACTCTAGACTCTAAATTGCAGCAGGGCCCACACATTGATGGATTGTCGAATAGACTCCGCTTTGCAGCATCAGTTGTTTATAAAATTCGTCAATTAACCGATGTAGAAACAGCTAGACTAGTGTATTTTAGCTATTTTCATAGTGTAATGTCAGACGGTATTTTATTGTGGAGAAATGCTGCTGACATTCAGAGTATCGTTGTGTTGCAAAAGAGAGCTATTCGAGCAATTTATAATCTCAGTTATATGCAATCACTGAGGGATAAGTCTAAAGAAATCGAAGATGCCGGCGCCTGCTAGCTATAAAGTCCAACTTGTAAAGATATCTGAAAAGATTTACTTGCAGAAATAAATACCATTTCATTTCATTTCAATTAAAACTAATCAGTTGTTGTAGCATTTAATTAGGGCTTTTCGATAATACATGATTAATTAAGCAAAGATAACCAAAGCAGGAAAAACCCAGTAATAAGATAACAAGAGGATTCTAGGATTTAAATAAACAGAGATATACAACAATAAGTATCTCAAACTTTGCATTTAATTAATAAAAAACAAGTTTGTCTTTATTGAGCCTTATATGCTAGTTTCTTTAAGTATGATTGTTTAAGTTCTGATTCTTACTCACGAGGGTCTTTTAGCTTTTCATCCAAATATAAGTAAATACCATACTTTAACGGCTTGACAAATAATTTCGTTTTGTTAATATCTCTTTGCCTATCGTCAGGTAATCGTTGACAAAAACCTGGTTGTACAATCCGAGATGATAATAAGCCAGTTACGATAAAACACAATATAGAACCCAGTTGGGTTTAATATTGTATTTTATTGAAGCGACAATAAAATTCTTTTTCAAACATACATCATGGACAGAGTAAATTAAATTGATCCTTGCCTTGAATTCAATCTTTCTAAATAACTTATTTTTGCGACAATCAAAAAAGTTTTCAGAATTAGTTGAAAATTCTTGATTATAAAACCTATGGAATAAATTTTAATTGGTTATAAAACTTTTGGTTTCTATAGAGTGATAATTTTCAGACAAATAAATGACACCAAGATGTTGATTATGGATCTATTTATATTTGTATCAAAACTCGTTGCAGCAGTAAAAACTTTGAGAAACGTTGACGCATGGACTAATCCCAATACAGATGTACTTTATGGGTCCATTATCAAATGCGTGCGCAAAAATAAGTATGACGCATTACTCTCTAGGTGTATTTATAAAACTAGTGCCTAATAATTCATAGGGCATTGCATTCCAGTAAACATTACGGAACCAACTAACCATTATGGAAAGTGATTGAACAACATTGCAAGTGTTCTACGAGATTAATAAGTTTTAGGACCCTTGTACCTAATTCAGCATGGCAAAGAATGAAACTGATTCTGCTGTAGAATTAAAAAGTGATCACTTATAGTATATCGGCTTTAACAGAGATAAGTATGATTAAAATATCATAAAAAGTAGTAGGTAAAACTAATTTAGTTTTTAGCGGAATACCCCAAGGTTGCATACTTGGACCATCTTTCCACGGATCACATATACTTGTTACGACGGTACAAAATCTTACTCAGCATACACTATTCAAATTTAAATATTCCAAGCAAATGAACTTCTAGCAATTTCCTAACAACAATTAAGTACCACGAGTACTATTATAGTATTTTTTGCTAGATATAAATTATGATATTAATGTAAACAAGACTAATAAATCAAAATATGTTGATTTACCCAGATCAGATAGAATAAAATATTTAGGTCACATAAATCGTCTTCGCAGAAATTAATTTGATCAAATCTATAAAAAAATAATCTTATCTGAATTGTGAATTCAGTATTAATACTGAAGTTAAGTAAATTCAGCTCCTAGCTGACGTTTGAACGGCAATCAGTATGGTAATTTAAATTTCATCATCATTTAAATGTGAATACACCGCACAGTTGTGGTCGATGTTTATTTTTATTTCATTTTTATTTACGCACAAAAATATACATCAGCGGACTTAATGCCCAAGGTATTCTCTCGTGTTTATGTTGCTCAAGTTTTGGCTAATCTTGAAGCTTCACTATTTTCCTTGTCCCTGTCACTTCATGATCTCCAGACCAATTAAAACCTCTTCATTTAGGTGCGGGATCGTGGAAGCTGAGATGGGCGAATCTCTGAGCTTTAAGCAATGTTCTCACATTTGGTGCAACTCTGATTACCGACACTACTATCTGCGTACAAATGTTCAACGTCACTTCGAAGCCTACTTGACAGGTAAAACTTATGAAACTGTGGTTAGTGACCTTAGCTGCTAAGCCAGAGGTCTTGGGTTTGATTCCCACCCAGAACAAATAATTGTGTGATGAGCACGATCATTTGTTCTGAGTCTGGGTGTAATTTATTTATATGTATATTTATATCTTCTTTTTCTTTTTTTAAAAGACAGTTTCCGCATTAGGAATATATCCTGTGTCGCGGGGGACTTTACAAACATACATGAAACGGACACAAAGAACACCCAGACTCAGAACAACAATTTGTGAATCACAAAGTGTCGTCCCATGTAAGGTACAGTTGTCCGTGGACGGTGGTGGTCACTTACCATCAGGTGACCAGCTCATTTGCCCCTATAGTGTAAGGGGTCGAAATCGTAAGACAATTATTATTTTGCTCAATATTTTTTTTCTTTCGTGCAGTAGTAGCGTATGCGGCTGCTGAGGTCTTGGCTTCGATTCTTAGATCAGATCAAATGTTGGTATGATCTGCAAATATTTGTTGCGGAGTTTGTGTGTTTAATACGTGTTACATGGTTGCTCCTGAGCGCTTTTCAAGAAACTTTTTGCCACGCACAACCAAAATATGTGATTACCATTATATGGTAATTCCATTAATTTTACACGTAAAATGTTAGTAGTACAGCCCAAGATATCAACAAAATATACGATTACGGATTATAACTCATAGATATTATAGTAGGTAAGATGAACACTTGAATTTTACTTGATAACATCGGTCTTACCAATCATGTCACGTTTATAAATAATCAGAGTCAAAACACTGATTACAGATAATAATATTTAATAACAAATAAATTAATCGTAAAAGCGGTGTCCATATGATTTTCCTCTACAATAAAAATCTAAATTTGATACTAAAATTTGAACACCTGAAATCTGCTGAGCTGAGTTGAGTAGTAATAAACTTATAATTTTCAGGTAATCCGAAGATCACATTAAACAAACAGAGCCGATTTGCAGTAAACCTCAAATATCTTCAAAACTCGACTGAATTTTTTCATTTATTTACTGACAGATACATATTATGAAGTGCTTACACACATGCATTACTAGTAGGTACTAGGAATGGAATAAAATCACAATAACGTGTGATAAATCATATGATTTATAAATCATATAAGTAGTCTTAAGTATGGTCAATTTGCAAAACCACTGCGACTTACTATTACGCAAGCGCTAGACTCACGAAAGGTATAAATCTAAATAAAAACGTTTTGTCGATGACTAAGTCACAATCACTGGTGATATCACAGTGACTGAAAATAATCATTTCTTTTTATGATTATGATTTAGAAGTAGCAATAATTGCCATGTCTAGTGGGTACGTATACACACAAGAAAGTCTACTGCACATATTCTAGTAAAAATTCCACATGTAAGATTTATTTGACAGGTTTTCACATTCACATCACAATTGTACCTAGACATCTGTTTTTTGTTGATCAGAACGCCATCTTTGAGCCTAGCCTGGAACTTTTATCCTACTTTTATTTAATTCTTATTTTTAATACTTAATTGCAACAAGTTTATAAATATAGTTTCAAAATCCAATATTGGGTAAGCATAGAGTCTACCCAAATTAGAAAGCCATGCAAACGGGTTTGCAGAACAAAAACGTTTGAAGTCCTCTACACTAAATGTAGCATCGTTGCACCAAAATACCAATCTTAAACATCATCAGAATCCAAATTATTCACTAACCGTATGTCGATTTTGTCACAAAAAAGTATGATCCAGGAGCAATGTCTTAATATTATAAATATTAGTATGTATGTCTTTCACCTAACAAATATAAAAAAAAATGATTATATACGTATTAATTCCATATGGTGTCCCCCAAGGTATCATTCTTGGACCTGATGGTTATAATATCTTTCTCTGCCTTAGCATACTCTATTAGAATCTCAATTTAATTGCAAACCGATAGGTGTTCTACGAATAATTTTCTTACAAAAACTTATTTATTGTACGATAGTTACTTAATACTATCCTATTCTCTTTATATTACAACTCAAGCACTTCTATAGTAGGCATCTATAATAAAAAATAGTTAAAAAAAACTATTTGTTGTGGGATGTAATGGTAAAAGTACTTTTTTATTAAACATAAAATACTTTCAAGAGCACCCTGCGTTATTATCTTTTTGAGAATAAAAAGTAACAAAGAAATCTATCACACTTCAACACACGTCTAAGTACGTGACAAAAGACACTACTAAAAGCCGTTAATCCTGAAGGTTCTGATCAGGATAAACTATTTAAATTATTGTATTGTCATTGGTCCTTGATAAGTGTACAAAGATTCAAATTAATTCGGCGTTTTGAAGTGGGTCAAAATCTGATTCGAAGATGCCGTTACATACATACAAAGATACATACATACAAATATATTGTTGCGACATAGGATTAAATGGTTTCGATTGTATAAAGAGGGAGGACAGCGCCATCTAGTATCGACTAAAGTACATCTATTAAGATCGTGGTTAATACGAGTAGTTCTGATCATTACAGCGCTAGATGGCTCTGTGAGTAACGCGTGACTGATTCTGGAAAATTCTTGTTGTTTGGAACGGACTATCGAATACCAGAGATCTCTCTAGTAAAATTCGGAGAATTAACATAGGAGTGAATTTCTAGTGCGACTAACAAGATATATGGTGATTTCTAGTTTATTATAGTGAGTGTTTGTAAATACAGTGAAATAAAGTAATTAACCAACGTCTTTTATTTATTCTTTGGAGGACATTACCTTCAACCCAGATCAAACTTACTTATTTTGCTTTGTCTAGAATAACATGTTATTGTAATAAGTCATGATTGTCTGACTGTTTATCCGTCCGTCAGAAGTTAGAACTAGAAAACAATAATTCAACAGTAGGTAAATACTTGTTTTAAATAAATAGAAATAAACTACAGAACGTTACACACCATGCGTTTTTTTATTTCTAAATATATTTGAATACAAAACATAATATTGAAAAATATAAAAAATAGTATCCCAGCGGTGGGCACAAGGATCAATCTACCGGTGGTTAGGATTTCAGAGACAGAAACCTCCTAAAAACAAATGACTTATCAAGAAGTACTGCTCGCATCAGGCCTTTATTCTGCACTATCTAGTTTAATCATCTAATTTAGTTAAACGTTTTTTCTTATTTCAGGTTTCATCCGTCCAGGACATTTCCACAGGTGGTTTACAGAAGTTTCTGGCATTGATTTTGAAAACTTAAACGAGGAAGAAGATGAAACGACAACAACGACTGTACCCCTCACTACTTTGCCTCCTACCACTTTATCACCTACCTCTTTGCCACCTACACCTTCCACCACCTTGTCACTTACCACACCGGAAGGTAGCAATGAAGAAGAGGAAGATGATACTTCCGAAGAAAATGAAGAACTATCGCAGCTTCTAAAACGCCTCCAAGTTAAAGTTAAGGTCAAAGTGAAGCTTAATCAGTTTAGAAAAAAAGTCATCAAGAAAATACAGTAATTGGATGTATATTGCGGTTAAGTTAAAATGAATAATATCTAATTTGAATTTTGTTTTATTTTCAAGCAAGTATAAATATTTTATGACAATGAAGTAAGCAACACTGACACGATGTGTCATTCATGTACTCTATATTTTGACGTCATTCGTTCTTAAGTTATAAATTAAAAGGCATGTTAGTTACTGCGATTTATCACTGAATTTAATAAATAAACTTACCTTTTTGAAATGAAATGGAGGGACCGAATACTAAAGGTATGTTCTGCCGATCAGTTGCGTGACATATTGCTATTCAAAAAGTATAATTTGTTCATGTTTTGACCAAAGTATTGAGTGGGCGAAACTTGAAATATCGTAAATTCCCTTTTGTTTCCTTGCGTCGTATCTATTGTGTATCCAAGTGTAAGAACTATATGTTCTCTAAAGGTTGTATTCTAGAAAGAAATCTAGAAATAGCTCTACATTGTAATTCTTTATTTATGAGTTGTTATTCTGTAATGTTTACTTCCGCGTTATAATGCTAAGTTGAAGGATATTCTACAAATGTATATTAAATTTAATAGTATTACGTTTATTACAACATACAACATTTGTAGAAAATGAAGTTTTACAACCAATACAAGTAGTATATTAAAAAGTACTTAAATTAAATATATTTTTTATACGACAAAGGAAAAATACTCATTATTATAAAAAGATTCATGGCTCCAAAGCTATTATATTAACCCTCACCATAAATTATTTGCCATATAATTTTACTTTTTATTATTATAATATATTTATATCATTATTTCTATACAAACACTCATACAATACTTATTTAAATTAAGATTTATTGTATGGAGTATACTCCATACAATAAATCTTAATTAAATTCCATATATATTCATCATCATCACCTCAGCCAAAACACGTCCACCGCTGGACATAGGACATTATTGACAGGCCTGTTGGTCTAGTAGTTAGTGACCCTGACTGCTAAGCTGGAATTCATGGGTTTGATTCCCACCCAGGACAAATATTGTGTGATGAGCACAATCATTTGTTCTATGTCTGGGTGTAATTGATCTATAATATGTATGTATTTAAAAATATATAAGTATGTTTATCTGCAGTCTGGTTACCATAGTACAGGCTGCTTAGTTTGGGATCAGATGGCCGTGTGTGAGATGTGTGAGATAAATTATTGTAACATACAACTTTTATATAACTATTCATTAAGGGAATCAAACAGAATTAATTTCCATTAAATATTTTCTAATTTAATCTTACTGACCCTAAAGCTACCTTCTGTGGGAAGTAATAGGCCTTTTTAAAAGTATTTTACAGTATTATGCAATAAAATTAAACTCATAAGTTCATTTTAAAGTTCATACTTACTAAAATGATAGACTTTTGTTAATACTGGAGTGTTGTGTACTCAATGTAGTGGGACCTTTGACTGCAAACAAAAAACTAACACCAAGTCACATATTGTTAGGGAAGGTCTATAGATCTTGGTGTAAGTTTTCAGTATCTGGTACGGTATGTATTTGAATTGAGAAAAAATATTTTGGAACTTTGAGTAAAACATAGTAAAATACTGTTGTAGTGCTGTATTTATTTATTTATTTATTTATTTATCAACTTTATGCACATAAGTACAATGGCGGACTTAATGCCATAGGCATTCTCTACCAGTCTACCTTAGGGTGGTGTGGAAATGAGTGTGGAGGTGCACTACCCTTTGGTTGAGAATTATAAAGTGACCATAAAAGAAGTAATGATAGCAATACTGAGCAAAAAGCAATGAAATAATATATAAATACCAACGTATACATACAAGAATACATACATTCATATTCATATATATTGTTTAATATATATACACATACATATATACCATAATATATAAGGTATCATATTTGTGATGATTCCGCTACATTCCGGTCAAGAAGAGCCCGCACCTTCGCCCTAAACGAATTACGACTGGTCGCCATTCTGATATCCTGGGGCAGAGCATTCCATAGAAGTACAGATTGAGTGAGGAAAGAAGAATGAACACACGCAGAAGTGTGGACAGGGCATAAGAGTAGAAGATTATTTATGGAGCGAAGGGTTCTGTTATGATTGGAGCACAAGAACTGGAAGGAGGGTGTCAAGTATGTAGGCGAGTTAGGAGAGTTGAGAATAGTGTAGAGAGTCGTTAGTGCCCGCAGGTGACGACGCTGACAAATTGGGAGCCAATTTAATTTAAGACGAAAGGAGGAAATATGATCATATTTACGAAGATTAAAAATGAATCGAATGCAGTTATTAAGAAGACGGTCGTATTTGTTGAGGAGATCTGCATTCAGGTCGTAGTAGCACACATCACCATAATTTATAATGGGAAAAATTAAAGTTTGTACCAACATCGCTTTAATCTCGGAAGGTAAAAAATTCTTTAGTCGGTATAACACCCGCAGGGTACCTGTAACTTTCTGGCTGACATTAGTAACCTGGGTTTGCCAATTGAGGTTGCAATCAATGAACAGTCCCAAATCCTTCACAGTAGAACTCAGGGGAATGATTGACCCGTTAAATACTAGGAATGGTAGTTTTTCTTGATCTAGCCTTCTGGTCATACGTGGACTGCCTAAGATGATAGCCTGGCACTTTGTGGGGTTCACAGTCAAACCGAACCTATAGGACCAACCGCTAATAGTCTCCAGGTCGCCGTTTATCATGGCAATAGCCTCCGATATATTATCTACAGCAGCATTATAGTAAAGTTGCAAGTCATCAGCATAAAGATGGTACGCACATTGAAGATTCTGAGTGATGAGATTGATAAAAATAGAAAATAATAGTGGAGAGAGAATGCCGCCTTGGGGGACACCAGAGTCGAGATCACACCATATGGAGGTGGATTCGTCGACACGGACGGTTTGCTGGCGCCCTCGAAGAAATGAAGAGAACCATTCCAGTACATCAGATGACATCATATGATAGGAAAGGATAGATAGAAGAACTTCGTGACTAACGGTGTTTTACAGCATTACAACTGTATTTTTACTTTGTTTAAGGTTTAATTTTGAGTGACATTCTTAAAAAATATTATATACTAACAAAACTGATATTTATATTACTGATAGTCATGTGTTAAAACATTCTACACTGTATGTATAAAATAATTGTTTCATAAAACTATACATATATTAGTCATTTTGAAGGAATCCAGCTTTTTTACACAGCTTTATGAATTAGTCATACTGGTATTTTTTATTGGTATTATATTATGTTAGGTATGTTAAGCTGTGGTGCGGAGTAATTTCCTTTTTATCAGCATATCGGTATATTGGCGGCCAGGTACGTATACTATTTGCGAAATCACTACAAAAATACAGATTTTTGTAACGGTTTTTTCTGGAAACTTAACTTTGATTCACTCACACACATTTGATCCCTAACTAGAGTGCTGTACTATGTTAACCAGACTGCTGATAAACGCACTTATATATTTTTAACTACATATGTTTTATAGATATACTACACTCAAACACAGAACAGATCAAATTCATCACAGAATTATTGGTCCTGGGTGGGAATCGAACCCACAACCTTTGGCATAGCAGATCCAGATCCCTATCCACTAAACCAACAGAATAAAACAGGTTTACTGCATCATAAAGCATCTGTTACAGAATCCCTTAACTGCGCGGGGTGTCTGAACGACATTGGCGATGATGATTACGTGTGTGCGCTCAACCAAGACTGGCATCAAGATTGCTTCAGGTAACTAGCGGAATAATGGTTTTCTACTCCATGTAGAATAACTCAAACTCAAACTCTCTTTATTTCATAAAGTTTTCAAAATAGTTTAGCCTACTAAACCACGCTGGCCAAACGGGTTTGATATAGGGTTTGTGTCAAGTTTTCCTTCTCTTTGCAGTGCTGTTGTCCTGCGTAGTTTTTCTCCCTTAGTCGGGTCTTACGACACCCACGGAATGAACAGGTCTGTTGACACTCCGTATGCTTAATCCGTCACGACGCGGACAAATATTATTTACTATAAACTAATAACACTCCGTGTGGTGACGGATTAAGAATACAGATTGTCACCACCCCTATACATCCCGTGGGTGTTGTAAGAGTCAACTAAGGGAAAAACTACGCAGAACAACAACACGGCAGAGAGAAGGAAAACTTGACACAAAACCTGGCCAGAGCCAGCGTGGTATAGTAGGCCAAAACCTCCTTTCTAAGGAGAGGCTTATGTACAGCAGTGGACTATTAAAGGCTGTTGATGATTGATGATGATGATGAATAACACTTATAGTCTTATGTTTTATTTATTTACTAAATATACATGGCAGGTGCTCAGTCTGCGATGTTCAGCTGTCAATGTGGTACTTCGAGAAGGGCGGGCTGCTGTTCTGTCAGAGCGACTATTGGAGTCGGTTCGGCGAGAGTTGCCAGCAATGTGCACAGGTATTTGGGACCATTTTTAGGGTGCCGTACCCAATTTGTAAAACGGAACCCTATTACCCAGACTCCGCTGTCCGGCCGTCTGTCACCAGGCTGTATGTCATGAACCGTGATAGTTAGACAGTTGAAATTTTTACCGATGATGTCTTTCTGTTGCCGCTATAATAACAAATACTAAAAACAATAAAATAAATATTTTAGGGGGGCTCCCATACAACAAACGTAATTTTTTTGCTCGTTTTTGTTCGATATTGATAACGGCAACAGATAGACGCTAGAAAAATTCACCGAATATTAAGTAATATATTCACTTTGAAAATAAATAATTAAATTAAAATAACACAAATATTTCAGGGGGCTCCCATACAACACAGCACAGTCCCATACAATAGCTAGTACGCGGATAAGTCTAAATATATTATTGCAATCACAATATTGTGCCTCAACCCTACAGGTGATAACGGGGCCGGTGATGTCAGCCGGCGATCACCGTTTCCACCCCGAGTGCTTCGCTTGCGTCGCATGCGCAGCGCACATTGAAGATGGCGAACAGTACGCGCTGGTTGAGAGATCTAACTTATATTGGTAAATACTTATTATAAAGTACAAGACACAAACACATATGTCCACGGCTTATACCTGTCAGGAGTAGGCAGAGACGATAGAGTGCCGTTTACCAAGATCCTGACGTACAGAAGAAGTTCGTTCTTCCATCGTTTCATTCATACATGCTTCCTACCTTGGAAGAGCCCTGCTTAGGCACAAATTGGCGACTGAAGGCGGCACTTATAAAAGACTTATATTGTGTTTATACTTTTTCCGATCTCAATCTTGATCCCAGGATATAGTTAGGAACTACGTCGGGGTGCCAGGAATTTCCTTTCTAGGGTACACCTGGTTCCCCGGCTACTGGCACCTGAGAAGGCATGCGGTTTTCAGTCGGTTAGAGACCGACATAACCACCGGTGGTATCCGAGGGGATTTCCGCACAGTTATAAAAAAGAATATAGTTATTACAGGGACGTTGTTTTGTTCCGCAGTGGCAGCTGTTACAGTAAGGTACGTTCAGGGACCCACTCCATCCGAGTGGTGGAAGTACCGCCAGCTACCGTCACGGTGGCGCACACCGCGCCTGCAACTCTCACAGTCACCAAGTAAGTTATTCATATTTATACGTTTTTGTAAATAAATAAAATTTTATTGTCTATTTCTAATGGAAAAATACCAGTTTTTTGATGATTTACTCGATATCGGCTTATCCCGGAAGTGGTCTTACCAATTTTCACGGGACTTTCACTCGCAGATAGATGATGCTAAGGGATTTTTGGAAGTATCATCTCAGAGGGGGTAAAATAACTATTAGTGAGAAAAACAAATAACTACTAATGAGATAGTGTAGTAAATGACTAATGAGATAGTGACTAGCTAAAGCATAATATGGATATGCCTAAAATCCCGGGCTTGCTAATATACCACGAACAAAAATATTTATATTGCCACATACATATTTAGTCGGAGTTGCTGTAAAGGTAAAAAAAATCATCTAAAATAATATATAATTATAAATAAACTCTACCGACTAATTGTTTACGCACTAGTGTTATTATTATAAATTATTGTACTCTTCATCTAAAGAAATATTATTATTATGACTTTAAGCCTAAATCCGATTAGATTATAATTATCTTTACTATGGGTCTACTCGCTTAGGAGACAATTAGCAATGAAATACGCTGAACACATTTACAGCTTTGAAATAGTTAATTCTAAACGTGTTCCGATCATTCATTTCATTTACACCCACATGATTCTAGTTATCTCTCCCTTTCTATACCGTTAAGCCCAATTCCGATTTGATTACAGTTACATTACAGTCACAAATAGTTCAATCTAAACTTTTTAACATCCTCCATCTCATTCACACTTACATATACTTCAATCTGTTATCTTTATTCGTTTCCTGATTTCTCACTTTGGGTCCTCTTATACGCTTAACACCTTCCATTTATGAAGTTGTTGGACCCCATATCTTCCTCTATATATGTGTAACATTATTTCCTTCCATCTGTGGGAGTTATTTCGTGAAAAGGTATGGAACTATGTGACCAACAAGGTGCTAGAGTTGGCTGTCAGATGTTGTACATCGACTACTGTATGGGCTGGTATGGGCTCCTTTTTTTTCATTTTACTTGTGTTTATTCCTTGTATATCTTGTCTGAAAATGTATTCCTAATCCAAGATAGAGACCGTTCAAAATATACTTTACAATTTTTGTGATGAAATGTGCCCAGTTAATGTCATTGCTGATCGTAATCACTTATGGTACGTAACCGCTAGTGATGTAACCATATGTGGGTAAAGATCGAGATGCGGCGAGGCCGTGTCGGCGGCCGCCCGTGCCATGGTGCGTGCCGCTCTCCGACTGTGCATCCACCTGGCGTGTCATAGGTACAATTCTTCTGCTTTATGTTCTGCATTTTGTTTCTAGTTCACCTTGCACATTTAGTATTGTATTAAAGCTCCAATCGACGTGTGCGCAATTATTTCGTTTTGCACGTGTTTTTTTTTTGTATGGATCTGAACATTTTTCACCGGGACTGCTTTTAGTAATCACTGAGTAAAAAAAACGTAAATAATTACTAATACGGGAATTAACGCGATCAATAGGTATAACATACCTTTTCAATAGTCTGATATCGTCATACTATGACTGGTTCAGTGGTTAACGCCCTCCGTCATCGAGTCCGTGATTCGGCGGACGGGACTCCATGGCCAGTTTTATTACCTAGTCGAAACATCACGCCACTCAAAGATATATAATACCCATTACTCGCGTTCATTCTCAGTTTCGTATAATTATTATATATTATCATGAAACACGAAACTTAAAAACTTAGTAATAGAAATTTTAGTACTTTTCACACAATTCTCATAATATTTAATACGTGTAAAAAAATTGCTCCTTGAATTATTGATTGTTTATTACATTTCTTAAGTATCAATTGGCATTTACTTACCGCAAATGTGAAAATTTGCCTTTAATTCGTTAACAATTTTTATTGCGTTCAATAAAAACTGGCAGTATTATTTATTTTTCACAATAACAAGTAATCAAGTGTGTCGTAAGTAAATCGGTTCATTATAACAATATCTCCTTAAAAAATTACACATTTCAAATTCGCGGTAATGAATGTCAATCGACGATATTGTTTTTTTTTAATTTCAAATAATTATTTTTAAACTACATTTTTATTTTTATATCTATAGATAGTTGTAAAAAGTTTTGTGGCCAGTGTTAAACGACTGTATGTAGATACTGTTGCTTTGTTCTTTTGATATCATGACTCATGCATGTAATAAAAAAAAGGTAAGTTATTAATACTGTTTGGTGTAATGAGTTTGTTGTCTTCTGCCATTTTAGTTTGCGTTTATTTTTTAACGTGTAACATCTGTTCTTTCGCTTTGCTGTAATCTGTGAGAATGATTTCGTGAAAAGAGACGGAAGTGTATAACAGGCAAAACTATGGTCCTTTCTTCAAAAGGCCTACCCAGACCCTACACTGTACTCGCACAGTTTTCTCTAACTTTGTTTCCGAACAAACGAAAACACACCTCTGGTTTGTTTCGGCGTGTCTTCCCAGAGTGAGTCTTAGGAAATACCGGCTCCTTTAAGCTGTAAAGTCCGACTAAAAATATCTAAATAAAAATAAAAATATTTGAAAAGATTTGCTTACAGTAATAAATATCATTTATCATTTGTGGTGTGGTGACGGATTAAGAATACGTAATGTCACCACCCCTATTCATCCCGTGGGCGCGTAAGAGCCGACTGAGAAAGCAAACTATGCAGAACAACAGTACTTCAAAGAGAAGGAAAACTTGAAACGAACCCTATTTCAACCCGCCTGGTCAGCGTGGTATAGTAGGCCAAAAGCTCCTTTCTAAGGAGAGGCCTATGTCCAGCAGTGGGCTGTTAAAGGCTGTTGATGTTTTTGGTCATTTATAGTAGTAACATACAGGTTATAGTCGTAACGTTAGTTGATTTGTGTTTTGTAATGCAAATAATCGCAATTAAAATCGTTATAATAAGCCGCATAAGTATATTACCCCAACACCTATGTACCACTTATTATATAGCCAGACACAGAAAAATGAATCACCCGTTGTTATGTGAATATTTATAAATACGTAGCGATAACTTGTCGGTCAGTGAATACATTGTTTATAACACACTTTATATATTAAACATACATTTTATTCTTAAATTTAATTAGTGACGTAAATTCTTTACATTATTATATCTAAACATATATACAAACTAGCTGACCCGCGAAACTTCGTCTGCGTCTCTCAATAGTAATATATTTTCTCCGTTTTTGAAACATTCTTCATTGGTGCTCCGCTCCTATTGGTCCAAGCGTGATGATATATAGCCTATAGCCTTCCTCGATAAATGGGCTATCTAACACTGAAAGATTTTTTCAAATCGGACCAGTAGTTCCTGAGATTAGCGCGTTCAAACAAACAAACTCTTCAGCTTTATAATATTAGTATAGATAAATAAAATTAAGTGTCTGTTTGTAATGTCAAAATTATAGGTTTTTTCACGCCCTCACGGTTATTTGCACGATACCTATGCCTAAAAACAAGTTTTTTTGTCTGTCTGTCTGTCTGTTTGTTCCGGGTAATCTTCTAAAAGGCTGGACCGATTTCGATAATATTTAAATACCAGGTAGCTACCTGGTTGTAATATAACAAAACTAGTTTAAGGTATATAATAAAACTAGTTTAAGGAATAACTTTTACAACTCAAATTTTGCCCGGCCCGGGAATCAACCGACTAAGGCTAAGACTAAGGCTGTTCAAATTCCACGCGAACGAAGTCGCGGGTACTAGCTAGTTTATCATAAAGCTGAAGGGTTTGTGTGTTTGGTTGAACGCGCTAATCTCAGGCACTACTGGTTCAAATTGAAGAATAATTTTAGTGTTAGATAACCCATTTATAGAGGAAGGTTATAGGGTATATAACATCACGCTACGACTAATAGGAGCCGCGCATGTTGCAAAACAGGGAAAGCTTATACCTTTTGAGAGACGCAGACTAATTTGCGCGGGTCGACTAGTCATTAATATATGCCAACGTCCCTTCCAAAAGAGACCCCATAATTCGTCATTTTTTATGGTATACGGCAAACGAGCAGACGGTTCACCTGATGGTAAATGACTAAGTGACTACTGCAAGTGCGTTCCCGCCCTTTCAGTCCCTCCCCCCAGGTTCAGGGAGAGCAGAAATATTTGGAGTTCGGTAACCGCACTAGTGAAAAGCAATGACACTGCTTAACACCTGTATTCTGTGAGGCCGTTGTAACACTCCGGTCGAGCCTGGCCCATATATCCTGAAGTATGACTCTTCCACGATTAGTAAAATCTTCCAAACTAGGTTGGGGTCGGCTTTAAGTCTTCTACGATACGGTTTAACTTAATTTATTTACGTGAAGCCACTGCCATCAGACCATCACAACCCATGTACTTGGCCACATCGAAGTTCTGTAGAAAGACTATTGTCGGTCTTTTTAAGGCTCTACCCGTAGCTACCCGGGCTCTGCTCCACAGATGTCCGTATGGCAACCGGGACCGACTCCCCGAGGCACGGAGGGGTCTCAATGTGTTTAGAATGGTCACCAGTCCATAGACCTGGCTAGGATTGATTAACTTTGCAATTTGTTAACCTACTTGTTACCACTTAGCTATCATCATCGACAGCCATTACTAGTCCACTGCTGGACATAGGCCTCTCCTTAGAAAGGAGATCTTAGCCATGAGCCAAGTCAAAAAAAAAAAACTTAAGGAAATACGCGAGTATTTCCTTAAGTTTATCCTCAGTTAATTATGGTAATTCCATCGATTATCGCTTTCGAACCAAAGCAAACTTCATCAATATTAAATGGCAGATTTAACAATACACAAATGTGTTAGTCAATGATAACTAACATGTTATGAACAATTTCCTTTAATTAGTCACCAGTATATATGATAGGCTTTATTTCGGTCAACCGTGTGTCGCGTCTCTGACGTGTATTATAATTAATTATATATTATTTTTTATTTTCGAGTATTATATAACGTTAAATACTATATGATATCTATGTTGTGTGTCTGTCTGTGGTGTTAGTGTAGTATCGTATCGTTGGTCGTTTATCCTTAATTTATGAAGTTAATTTTAAGGTATGTTTGAAATTTCATAATTAAGTTAAGGTTTTTTGTAAGTGGCATGCTCAATTGTTAAATACTTTTGCAAAAATTGTCACTGATCAGTCTCCGTCATCGTGGCAAATTTTTATTTTATTTCTGACGATGCTGCTATGTATGTTTTTATTTATATAATGTTCAGTCCGGATCTAGGGGGCGACAGTTTTAGAGTGAGCCAAAATCTTAAAAACTTGCATCAAAAATAATAAAAACTTGCTCCACAAAGCGCCTAGCATACGGAAGCCTGGTTCGCTCATCGTGGACTTGTAAGAAAAACTCGCCACACAGGCCCACACTACAAGTGAACTACTTGTGTTTTTTTTTAATTTATCTCAAACGCTGTAGAGAGAGGCGCCACTATCAAGTTTCTGCCCGGTTCGAAAAAATCTTAGATCCGGGGCTGATAATGTTAAGATGTATGTATGTTTGTGTAGGTATATGTATATGTGTGTATTAATTTGCCTTTGTAACTTACTTAGAGCAAATCCCATGCATTTGTCCATTATAATAGGTTGTTGCAATCAGCAATAAGCTCAACTTCCGTACCAAAAGTAAATTTATATTTTTTATTTTCTAAACTTTCTTGTAATAACTGTAATATTGTACAAAAAAATATTGTATTTTGTATTCTCTCAGACATAGGTTACAAAAGGCAGATAAACAAATTGAATTTAATTTAATTAATAAGGAAAATATGTATACTTAGGCATGAACAGTAAGTGACCTTGGAATTTAGTGGTGGAATTGATAAGGAACGTCCTAGTTTCAAAACTAATTAGTAAATTTGCATTTTGTTTTTAATTTTCTTTTTTTCATTTGCATGCTTTGTTTGATAGAATATACCTGGCTTCATACTTATTTGTTGTGATTTGATTTTATTATAATATTAAAGTATAATGAAATATTGACGAGCCTGTTGTCTAGTGGCTAGAGATCCTGGCTGCATAGTCAGAGGTCGTTTGTTCGATTCCCACCCAGAACAAAATGTAATATGGATGTAAGTTATCTATAATATGTATGTGTTTAGAAATATATATGTATGTTTATCAGCGGTCTGGTTACCGTAGGCTGGCCAGACTGAACCGGGACCTACTAGAGGAGGCAGCCATAATTCACTCGTGGCTGTCTCCTCAGGCTCCGACCGAGGAGGTCGACGTGGGGGCTGGTCGCTTTCGCGATGCGATTACGCATGTATGCGATGCGGCCATGCCCCGCATTCGAGGTCGTCGGCCTCCAAGGAAGGAGGTCTACTGGTGGTCCCAGGAGCTGGCGGACCTCCGTGCGGCCTGTACAAGTGCCCGGAGGTCCTACACGCGCAGTCGGCGGCGTCACCGTGGAGACGGTGAGGAGGACCGGCTTCATGAGGAGTACCGACGGGCGCGGAAAACTCTGAAGCTGGCCATTAGCCGCGCCAAAGAAGAAAAGAGACAGGAGATGCTGGAGGGTCTTAATCGTGACCCCTGGGGTCGCCCTTACCGCGCGGTGCGACAAAAGCTCCGCGCGTCGGGCCCCCCCCTTACGGAGACTCTCCAGCCCAGCTTCCTGCGAGAAGTGGTTGAGGGCCTTTTCCCACAACGGGCGGAACACACTCCCCCGTCGATGGCCTCCCTGGCCGGAGACGACGGGGAGCACGGGGAGGATAATGTTCCGCCCGTCCGGGATTCGGAGGTAGGGGCGGCTGTTCTACGGATCCGTTCCAAGAACACCGCCCCTGGGCCAGACGGGGTACCGGCCCGAGTGCTGGCCCTGGCCCTCAACCACATGGCAGACCGCCTCGGGGAGGTGATCGACGCTAGCTTGGCGTCGGGACGCTTCCCTGAGTGCTGGAAAAGCGGGAAGCTGGTCCTATTGAAGAAGCCGGGACGGCCTGCCGATTCGGTCGCGGCCTATAGGCCCATCGTGCTGCTGGACGAGGCGGGCAAATTGTTTGAGAGGGTTCTTTCTGCCCGCATCGTCCGGCACCTCTGCGAGGTGGGCCCCGATCTGTCGGACGCCCAATTTGGTTTTCGGGCGGGGCGTTCGACAGTCGACGCCGTGTTGCGCCTGAGGGCAGTGACCGAAGAGGCCGTGAGCTGTGGCGGCGTGCTGTTGGCGGTGTCATTAGACATCGCCAACGCATTCAATAGTCTGCCATTCAGCTGCATCAGGGAAGCACTCCACTATCATGGGGTGCCAAAGTACCTGAGGCGGCTGGTGGCAGACTATTTAGAGGAGCGTACCGTCGTGTACGAGGACCGAGAAGGTAATTTGAGGAGTCGGCCCATGTCGTGCGGTGTTCCACAGGGGTCTGTTCTTGGACCCCTCTTGTGGAACATAGGGTACGACTGGGCCCTTCGCGCCGATTTCCCCCCCGGGCTGGGTGTAATCTGTTACGCAGACGATACCCTGGTGACAGCCCGGGGGGCAAACTTCCAAGAGGCGGCGCGCCTGGCCACAGGGGGAGTCTCCCTGGTGGTCGGGCGCATTGAGGCGCTGGGCTTACGGGTGGCCCTAGATAAGACGGAGGCCCTGTTATTTCATGGGCCCCGTCGTGGTCCACCCCCTGGCGCCTCAATCGTGGTCAACTCGGTCCTCGTACCGGTTCGGGCCCAGATGAAATATCTGGGCCTGATTCTCGACGGGAGGTGGCTCTTCGACGAGCATTTCCGACAGCTTGCTCCAAAGCTGGTCGGCGCTGCGTCTGCCCTAGGGCGACTCTTGCCCAATATGGGTGGACCCAGCGTCGCGACAAGACGGCTGTACACGGGGGTTGTCCGGTCAATGGCGCTGTACGGTGCACCGGTGTGGGCGGCGGCTCTGACCGCCCAGAATAGGGTACGCCTCTGGCGCACTCAGAGGGTAATGGCGGTCAGAGCCATACGCGGTTACCGCACCGTTTCTACGGAGGTGGCATGCGCGTTGGCCGGAACTCCCCCGTGGGATTTGGAGGCGGAAGTGCTCGCCGAAGTTTATCGGCGAGTGGCTGACTCCCGGGCGGAGAGCGGATTTCGCCCTCCGCTCGAGGATGTGCGCGAGTGGCGCGAAGCCGCTCGCCGAGCCACGATGGCTCGTTGGTCGTTCCGGCTGGAGACTCCACGCGCTGGCTTCGCCGCCGTGGAGGCTCTCCAGCCGGTCATCGCCGAGTGGGCAGAGCGGCAGTACGGGACCCTTTCCTTCCGGCTGACGCAGGTGCTTTCCGGGCACGGTTGCTTCGGAAAGTACCTGCACACGGTCGCTAGGAGGGAACTGAGTCCCGCCTGCCACCACTGCGACTGCAGTGAGGACTCGGCCCAGCACACGCTGGCGGTCTGCCCCGCATGGGCGGCGCAGCGCCGGGCCCTCACTGCAGTCATCGGAGTGGATCTCTCGCTACCGGCCGTAGTACGCTCCATGGCCGGTAGCGACAGTTGTTTTACCGCGGTCGCAACCTTCTGCGAGGTAGTAATCTCGCGGAAGGAGGCGGCGGAGAGGGCCCGGGAGGACAACCTCCACTCGGACCCGATCCGCCGCCGGCGAACCGGGCGGCGGAGGCCCGCCTATCACAGCCTCATGCCGCCCTGAGTGTGGCCGCGGGTGGACGGGGTGGGTTTCCCCTCCACCCGCATTAGTTTGGCCAGCCGCGAGGGGGCGGCGTCCGCGTGTGCCGGACGTCGCCTAAAGAGAGGAACATCAACAATGAGACGGAGCCCGCACCAGGAGCGGGCTGGCGCTAGGAGGGGTCCGGATGTCTTAACAAAAGCTGTTCCCGGATCCCTCCTGTTACAGGCGCAGAGTGGCACACCGTGTGGTTTTAGTCGGTCCGAGTCCGACACACCACCCCGCCGCAAACCCCGGAGGGTGACCGTCCGAGGGGATTTCCACACGTTAAAAAAAAAAAAAAAAAAGGCTGTGCCTAGTTTGAGATCCGACGGCCGTGTATAATATAACATTCTACCACATTAACACAACGCCATCTAGTCCCAAACTAAGCAGAGCTTGTACTATGGGTACTAGACAACTGATATTTTTTTTGTAAATACATACATATGTATTATAAATAAAAACACTCAGACCAAATCAACCATTAACATGTTCATGCACACAAATGTTTGATTTGAACGGGAATCGAACCCCGCGACCTTAAGATGAAACATTTACAATAGATTTTCGTTACATACTCCCACTTATTTATAAAAACAACCGAAGGTATGTTTTCTTTCTAAAACTTAAGTGTAATATGACTTTAATAAAAAAAGTTTAACTACAACAAAACAACAACAGACGGTTTAAAGCGCCTCTAGTTCTAAAAAGTCCTAAGACCCTTAATTCATACAGAACTTGTGACATTTCATACTTTCGTTAATTGTCATCCTGATATAACATTCTTCGATAAATTTACACCTTCAATCCTGACGTATAAGGTCGATTCTCATTCAATCTTAGTTATTTCTATTGATATCTACTATTTATTTTTAAACCTTTTTGGAAAGAGTAGCACCTTGCTCATCATCATCTTCCATCCCTTTCCCACATTTATTTGAGGTTGGTGCAATGAGTGTGTTCTTTAATTCTTCATGATCACTCGACAAACTCTTTCACACAATCCTTTATTGGGCTGATTGAATGATTTTGACTTTTTTAAAGCTGCCAGACGCCAATCCTCCTTGGGAAGGAACTCTATTCTATACAAAAATCCCTTTTTCCAGGATTGATTCATCTTGTGGCCTGCTGACGCTCCACATAGGAGACAAGATCCTGGAGATAAATGGAACACCCGTGAGAAACCGACCGCTGGATGAGATCGAGAAAGCTTTGGCCAAGCGGGATGCTGTTATACAGGTAGATTAGGAATACATCCTGTGTCGGGGGACTTTACAAACATACATGAAACAGACACAAAGAACACCAATTTGTGGATCACACAAAGTGTCGTTCCATGTGGGGATCGAACCCACAACACTCAGCGTTGACTGACCTGACTGCACGCCATCCGTGCAGACATCCGTGCAGTCAATGTCTATGCCTGATTCTGGAGGGGGGAAGGCTCAAATAGTTGTAGATGTCCATGGGCAGCGATATTCACTTGACATCAGGTGACCCATCTGCTCGTTGACCTTCCTATTTCATAAAAAAACTTTCGATCTTATCTTCGGTTGATATTTTTACTTTTGTTTCTGATATACTGACTAATTGCTACTTAACTCTTGATTTTGATTTTTTCTAAAAAAACTTTAAATATATTGTTAACGAATGAGCAGCGGGTTTTATTATTGATTAAAGCAAATATTTGTATGTATATTCTCGTAATAATGTCTGATTTTTTATTTTCAGTTAACAATAGAACATAGCCCCGAAACAAACCCAAAGCGGCCGCAATCTACACACACAGCACACACACAATCAAACACACACACACGATCAAATACACACACACAATCAAACACACACACGCACACAGAGGACGACAAACTCAAACATGAGCTATCACCTGTCGAAAGAAAGATATTCAGCAACAAAGAAGACGTGAAGAAACATTCCGAGATAGAGTTGAAGGGAAGAGAAATTGAGGGGCGGAAAGAGAGACTGTTCAAGAGGAAAGGTGAAGATGGGGGAAAGTGGGTCAATAAGAGACGACAAACCCCATCTTCCCCATTATTAGGAGATAAGGAGAAGAGTAGCAGTATGTCTAAACTGCTCGATGCGTGAGTATTTAATTCTATGTTTTTATCATGTTTTTGTTCTTGTAGATTTTTGAAACTACTTTGTGTTACTGATTCTTAAACGCCCTGACATATTCTTCGTTAAATTAATAGTTTTTTTATTTTCAATAATAATAACGGCGTTAATCTTGCTTAACGTACCCCTACAACTTTCCTTATAACCATGGGAGAACTTCGACACGAATGGACAGGCTCGACGATGGCGTCCCTGCCGTGGAAGCCGGAGGTCCGAAGGGATTTTCCACCTTATAGGACCTGGTGGTCGTAGTACCTTGCCCTCAACTTCCCATACCGTGCCTACCACGGATAATACCAGCGTGAATACATCCATGTATACAGCTGTACTCCAATATATATTCGCTATATTTACACATTGTCTATACTTCGTAGTGTGGACGGGGAGGAGGAGCCGAGTGGTGTCCTGCGAGACCTCAGCAGGGCGCGGTCGTTCAGGGTCGAACCGGCACCCGGACAGACTGTGTTCAGAGCCAGCGACTTGTTGCAGGTACGTAACACAAATACCCATGTATCCTATAGTTCATTCGCGTTAAGAAAATAGTAACGCATCGATCAATCCCCGCCCCTGACGAAGATTTACTTAACTCGAATGGACTACCGTGTTGAAGCGTAAGCTTTATGAAACTTGAGATTTTTCAGGAAAGTTTACAGACCTTTAAGACTGTTTATGATTAATTGAATATAATTAATTGAATTGACCAAAAATGCTAATGATTATTTATATTTTTATATGCTAACTTTTTGTTATATTTAGTAAATTATAAATATCTCGTGTCACGTTGTTTGTGGTCGCATTCCTCCGAAACGGCTCGACCGATTTTAATGTTTTTTGACGTGATAACGTCTTATAAATCGATGAACGCCGGCTGCCCGCACGAATAAGCATGACTCAATGTCACGTTCCGCCTGAGACGAGCGTGCAAGCGAGAGCGCGGGACAAGCGAGAGGCACAATAATATTTCAATTCATTAAAGTATGCAATTTTTCATCAATGTTTTCTTATGACGTTTTCACGTAAAATTATCGTCCGTAAATTGACTTTACAGACAACCGGATGGCGTAGTTGTTTAAGCGGTCGCCACGCCGCTTACTACTGCACTGAGTGTTGTGGGTTCGATCCCCACATGGGACGACACTTTGTGTGAGCCACAAATCGTTGTTCTGAGTCTGGGTGTTCTTTGTGTCCGTTTCATGTATGTTTGTAAAGTCCCCCGCGACACAGGATATATTCCTAGTGCTGGAGTTGTCTTGTTTATCGAAAAAAAAAATTTTTTTTTGGAAATTTGGTAAGTATGAGAATGGGTCGTAAATTATTTTACACCCCGCATTTGTTAATCGCGATTTGATTTCTTCGATAATTTATATAGCAGAACAACGTTTGCCATATCATATCAGCTAATTTTTTTGATATTTATATTTGCCAGGGTGAGCTCCTGGGGTCTGGTTTCTTCGGCGAGGTGTACAAAGTTACCCACCGGGACACCAACGAGGTGATGGTGCTCAAGCAACTGTACAGGGTAGACGAGGATGCGCAGAGGAACTTCCTCAAAGAGGTCAGGTTTATTAAATGTATTAATTGATTTTAATCACCCATAGAACAAGCATTACTCAGTCAAATATACTACAGACTAGCTGAAACCCGCGGTGTTACCCGCGTTTGTTGTTATAACCGCGGGCAATGCCGCGGAGGAAGCTAGTCTAAATAAGTAGCCTAAGTTACTCCTTATGTCATCAGCTATCTGCCAGTAAAAGTTCCGTCGAAATCGGTCCAGCCGTTCCAGAGATTACCCGGAACAAACAGACAGACACACAGACAGACAAAAATTGTAAAAAATGATACTTTGACATATGTACCGTGTAAACATACATGCATTTAGTAAAAAGCGGTTATTTTAATATTACAAACAGACACTCCAATTTTATTTATTTGTATGGATATGACTGCACGGATGACGTAGTGGTTTAAGCGGTGGTCACACCACTTTCTACTGCGTTGAGTGTTGTAGGTTCGATAACCGCATGGGACACTTAAAGGACACACGACACGAGGTGACCACTTAAACCACTACGCCATCCGTGCAGTCGAAACATTAAATGGCAAAATTCTTGAGGAAGGTTATAGCCGTCATGACATCACACTACAACCTTTAAGAGTAGAGGAACAACCGTGGGTGAATCCCCTAGAAAAAGCTAGTAGCTTGTATGTCTGTACCACCAGGTGGCAGTGCTCCGATCCCTGAAGCACCCGAACGTGTTGAAGTTCGTGGGGGTGTTGTATAAAGACAAGAGGCTGCATCTCGTCACAGAGTACGTCGCCGGAGGGACTTTACATCAATTAATTCAGGTATTATTTCATTTCAAAAGACGCCGAATGAATGGAAGACCGAATGAATGAAACAGTGAATGAGTTTATTTTTCATATTTCACAAACACTTTTACATGCCATTGTATTAATATGGCCTGGATGCTCCGTTATTTAATTTACAGGGTTTGTATAAATATTGTCCCAATTCATCCCGTGGGTGTCGTAAGAGCCGACTAAGGGCGCAAAACAACGCAGGACACCAGCACTGAAAAAGAAGGAAAACTTGACACAAACTCTATACCAACCCGTCTGGCCAGCATGGCATAGTAGGCCAAAGCCTCCTTTCTGGGGAGAGGCCTATGTCCAGCAGTGGACTGTTAAAGGCTGATGATATGATGTATACATATTTGTTCAGAGTAAAGTTTGCAACAATTGATCATCAACTGATTCTGTTGAAATTTTGCATGCAATTATAGTTTGGATCTCAAAAAATAATGAAATAAATAATTAAAGGAATATAAACTTATCTTTAAAATTGTATCTAATACTAAAACTTATTAATGCCTGATTTGAACCATTCATTAGCTGTGCTTATCCTAGTAAGCTCTCAAGTAGTTATTGATGAGAATTTAGGAACAATTTTGACGCGAAAATTAGATATATAATAAATCTTAAAATAATAAATCTTTGAAGCGAAGCAGAAGCTCAAAATCGATCTAAGTGGCGTGCAATGGGAGAGGTCTATGTCCAGCAGTGGACTGCGATAGGCTGATGATGATGATGAATCTTTGAAGCGGGTAGTATATCGTGTCAAAATTTAAGCTCAATCGTGTGCAGAAATATTTGGATTTTTTAAGAGTACACAAACCAACACAACATATCTATAAATATAAATTGTACCTTGTAATAAGTCTCTTAAGATTTTTGTTACAATTCTTCCTCCACTTCTGTGTGTGTGTGTGTGTGTGTATGTGTGTGTGTGAGTGTGTGTGTGAGTGTGTGTGAATATCTGTCTTCTCCATTGACATGTAATATATGTGTGTTTTAGGACACGTCCCTGGCGCTGAGCTGGCGGGACCGGGCGCGGCTCGCGCGGGACGTGGCGGCCGGCGTGGGCTACCTGCATCGCATGAACGTCATACACAGGGACCTCAACTCCCACAACTGCCTCGTCAGAGAGGTGAGCACAGCAGCAGAACACATTCCTGAACTAAGGAAATGGCTTTCCTAACTCAAAGGTTCAATACAAAAATGAAGTAACATCTATGCCAATGGATGGATGCGGACTGTCCAAGAACGGAATAGTTGGCTTCTTGAGGGAGACCTTCGTTCAGCAGTGGATAGCGATAGGCTGATGATGATGATGATACGCCTTAGAAACTTCGATAAGTGGTAATCATATTCAGGAGTGTAATTCGGGATGCCACATTGGTTTCGAACTCAACGGGGTACAGTGTGACACCTTTTTTCTTCTTTTTTTTCCGTGTGGAAATCCTATCCTATCCTATCGGTGGCATGTCGGACTCGAACCGACTAAAACCGCACGCAATCTCAGGTACTAATAGCCGGGGAACCAGGTATACCCTAGAAAGGAAGTCCCTGGTGCCCCGACATACCTCGGGCCATCTACAACAACAGGTAGAGGACCCCCCCCCCCCGTGTGGGAACTCCATGTTCCCCCTGCTCCCTGGAAGCGAGCGCGCTTCGCAACGCGCCTGCTTCTGCTAGGGTGACAGATGGCCTCACCTGTCACCCCCAGGCCTGCGCTTATGGAGGACGGTGGTCGTTCTGCGACCTCCGGCGCCTGAGTCGCCTGCGGTACCTGGCCCGTTCCCGGGCCTGGCGGGCCGGGAGAGTCCTAAACCTCTCCCGGTCCCGCTCCGCCGTCTCAGTGTGACACCTGACTTCTCGCGGCAAGACGTTTCACTCCTCAGGATATTTTAACCTTGGGAAAACCATTCTACCATAAAAATGGATATTATTTATTTATTTATTTTACACTTTATGCACAAATGTGACAAAGGCGGACTTAATGCCTAAGGCATTAGCTCCCATTCATCTATTACGTCAAGTTATTAAGAATACGTAAAATAATTAACACGATCACCTAATAGGTATATAAGTAGTCATAGGCTGATAGTCAGCCCATAAGAACGTTCAGTACCTGGTCGATACGTCATCAATAATGATATGACTAGCTGACTGAATTCCCTTTATGCAACATTTGGAACGAAGTTCCTTATCGCGCGTTGTGAAAGGGGGCTAGACGGACAAAATTCTCACGAAAAGTTGTAACGACACTTTTTATTTTGAAGTGTCACTTGTCAGTCATTCAGCGCCATCTATCGAATAGATAGGAAATCATTACTTTTCATCTCAGTAAAATTAAAATTTATGTTTTTAGGTTGAGCAAAAAATATTGTATTCGACATCATTTCTCAAGGAGATTTTACCAATGTATAAATTGTTTTAATTAGAAACCAACTGAAAAATATGTAGGTAATAGCCGCTTTCATAGATGGCGTTGTAATTAAAATCGTGTCGAATCAGTTTTACTCGATCGTCACAACTTCGTTCCTATCGGGTGTCCCACGACACCACACGGCTTTTTTTTTTCATTGATTCGCGGATCCTATTGGTCGTATCCTGATATTATACAGCTCATGGCTTTCCTTGATAAAATTTTGCAATTAACCACCGAACCAGTAGTTTCTGAGATTAGCGCGTTCAACCAAACAAACGTACTCTTCGGCTTTATAATAATAATAATAATCATATAGATATATAGTAAATGAGAATGAGTATATTGGGGATATCTAATACCTAATAACGTTATTGCATCAATTCCCATACGTCCCATAGGTTCTTTTCAGTTGAACCCCCCACGTGGACCCCACTAGGGGGTACATGGACACTCACTCTTACACTTGCACCCCCTCAATAGTCTGCATATAGTTGTCTGTAAGAAATCGACTCAGAGCGATAAGCCGCTAATTTGTATTGTTTACAAAGCTAGATTTTCATTCTCAAATGTAATGTACTTCAGTGTACAATGTCTGGGGGTTGAAGTTGAATATAAATTTAATAATTTACTCGCACCCCTGGGTTGGGGGTCCAATGTAATAGTGAGTGTCAATGGAACCTCTAGGGGGAGTATGCGGGGTGTTCAAGTGGAAAGAAGGCATTTATATATCATTAAACGCAATAATTTTGTATAACAATACACCATTTTACGTCAGTCCCTGTAATTTAAGCTTGTTTGTTATTTAATCACGCTTAATACGATTCGTCATCTCATTGTATAATTATAATAACCATTTATTTCAGGTATAAAACCATAGACAAAATTACAAAATCATAAAATAACACAATGACATTTTAAATAATACGTCAATTCGTTAATACGCCATCAGTACATCTCACGTTACGTAGATGTCATATCGGAAAAAGGGGAAACCACATTTCTGTAGATTTTTCCTGTATACGCTTCCATTGATGACAATATCGCTGTATTGTTCTATAAAATCTATTTAATCAATGATCTTATTGATTTTGAATAACACACAAAAATTGAAAATGATGAATATAAAGACGGGGGAATCCCCCATCCCTAATTCGGTTGGGGTTCTCAAAAGACGGCAACTCATGTCTCATGCGTTGTAGGTGTCAATGGGCGTCGGTAGTCACTTACCATCAGGGGACCCGTCTGCTCGTTTGCCTCATTACAAAATCCTTTATCTAGATCAATAAAAGAAGAAGCTGACTGATCGATCAACGCACAGCTGCAACCAGTGGGTCTAGAAGCATGAAATTTTGTACAAATGTTCCTTAAGTGACGTAGGTGTGCACTAATAAAGGATTTTTAAAAATTCCACCCCTAGGGGTGCAAAATGGGGGTTGGAAATTTATATAAAACTTCGTTATTTTTGGGAATAGCGTTTTCAAACTCACAGTAAATACTCTTTATTACAAGTAATGGCAAACGGTACTAATTTTTCAAATATGTTCTTAAAAAGTTTGTATGAGGAATTACCGTTTACCGTTCTGCCGCACGTACAAGTGTCCGGAGCCCTTCTACAGGATCGCACTCCTCGCGTGCCATCTAGAAACTGACGCTAGGTAAGACTGACTAATTTCTGAGATGACAAAGAAACTAAAAGCCTTCTATTTTCTCGCCTAAACTCTAGTTGCAAAACTCGCTGATTCCTACAATCTTAATGCTCTGCCGCTTTACCGTGAGAGAACCATGCTTCGGGGGACCACAAATGGGACGACTCAACCAGAGTGGAGATGATTTTTTAACTTATCCATTCCAAACTCTCACTATAGTTACTGCGAGGTCTGATGTCGACCAAGTTTACCTAAATCGACTACTACAATCATGTATCTATAAAAACACCATACTTGATGGTGGTCAGAATACCTTCTCAGAATTGGAATTGTCATCTACCTATTAAAAATGATGTTTGACCATAGCCCCACTGCTATAGCAATTGGGCTTATCAATGAGTTTCTTCAGTATAGTCCAGATGCAGATATATTTTTCGACTCCCAAAGCATAATTTCAAAACATATTTATACATATCTAAATTTTAAAGAGTAATTTTATAGTTCCTAAGTTGATGTAAGGTTGTTTTTGTTTACAAATTTTATGTTGTTTCTTTTTGATAGACTCAGACCGAGTTTTACAATTGTAATAGTATGTAGTTTATTTTTGTTAAAATTAGCATAACCTTTAATAATAAGCCTTTTTAACTCTTTCATATCTTTCTCTCATTGATATTTCTTCCTGAGATATGCAAAAAAGAACTGGATTCATAAATCTACCCACAATATAAATCACAAAATGTTCTAAATTATAGTTTTTGTTTATCCGACTTAGCCGTTATGCTCGCCACTAAATACTCCCTCTGATATGATGTTCTGCATTTGTTAATATACTTACAATATTGATGATTGAATAATTGGTATTTCAGGACAAAACTGTGATAGTAGCTGACTTCGGACTGGCTCGCATCGTTCAGCGAACAGCGAGCAGCTCGCTGGACAGGAGACATGCTCACAACACGCTACGTAGGAAACGGTATACGGTATGTACAACACACACATGCCTACGAACACACACACACACACATACACTCACCCCTATAAACACGCGCACATACCTGAGCACATACACACACACACGCACATGCACGTACGCTGGGTGCTTAATATGTTGCAGATGCAACTTTCAATTGTAAGCATATTTTTGCTTGAGCATCTGACACCTCACCTACCATCTGACGGCCAACTATAGAACCGCATGCACTCAATTGGTCAAATCAAAAAGCGCTATCTCCGGCTTCCTGTTACACACTTCCGTCCCTTTTTACGTAATCACGTCATAGACTGCAATGCTTCTGGAAATACTTAGGCTTTCTTTAACTTGGGGTTTTTCTCAAATTATTATTTGCTGATACATTAATGTTATTGCGATCAGGTGGTTGGCAACCCTTACTGGATGGCTCCAGAGATGATGAACGGCAACGTGTACGATGAAAAAGTCGACGTGTTCTCATTTGGCATTATTCTATGCGAGGTAAGACATGTGCAATATGAACGTGCATATTGGCCAGCACGACCGACAAAAGTGGCGTTAAGCTGATCTTCCGTTGTTTTTCACCGAATTAGTGAAGTCCCCCCCCCCCCCCTGTTTCTGGGGGGGGGTTCAAAAGATGACAACGTGCTTGTGACGCTTGAGTTGCCTGCGTCCATGGGCGGTGGTAGTCACTTACCATTACGTGTCCTGTTTCCACCTTTATCATAAAAACAGAAGCTAGTGTTCCGAAAATATAATAAATGTGTTTTATATTCTTGTAGATCATAGGTCGTGTGTCAGCGGACCCAGACTTCCTGCCCCGACGTTCGGACTTCGGTTTGAACGAAGCATTGTTCATCGACAAGTTCTGCCGCACGTACAAGTGTCCGGAGCCCTTCTACAGGATCGCATTCCTCGCGTGCCATCTAGAACCTGACGCTAGGTAAGACTGACTAATTTCTGAGATGACAAAGAAACTAAAAGCCTTCTCGCCTAAACTCTAGTTGCAAAACTCGCTGATTCCTACGATCTTAATGCCCTGCCGCTTTACCGTGAGAGAACCATGCTTCGGGAGACCACAAATGGGACGACTCAACTAGAGTGGGGATGATAATAGCTGTACATCGTGTAAAGCTATTATCATCATTTTGTAAATTGTTATTGGACTTTTGTTGGTCCATGCTGTGCCTACCTTTAAGTGGCGTGATGCTTAACTTTAAAATTCATATGTTTATAAATACATTGTAATAGTGTACTCGCCGTTGGTGGCCTAATAAATAAATAAATAAATCATTCTTAGGGGCAAGTAATAAGTCCACGTCCACGTCCATATCCACCACGTCATAACTATTTAAGTCGGGAAGTTGGTATTCAATGTGACAACTTCCATTGTGTGGTTTAGGATCGGTAGGTACTACGTAATTCCATTGATCTTCGCTAGGTGGCATTGATATGTTTTGCTATAATATGTGGACATTTTTTTCAGCAATAATGAATTTTGATGATTATTCTATTGATTTAATATTATAATAATGTGTGTATAAGTAAGTATATTGTTGCAGTGGGAAAAAAAGTATTTAATAATTTTCCATTAAAATTGTTTTTGCAAATTACTCTCTTGCCTTCCTTAGGCATTTAATAATAATAATAATAATAACTTTTTCATTGTATAAATGAGATTGTAGGTTTACACAATTTTACATTTATTATGATATATGATTTAATGTTTCATCAACATAGAGAGGGCATGGGCCTCTCTTTAGATAGGAGATTTAATTTGATTTACAGTCTCATTTAATAGCCTTAATTACAGTATAGTGCTTGGCTATACTTGGGCCGTCTCGTATGACCTTTTCGTTTGGTTTTGTCTGCACCGACAAACCGGTTCCGGTGTATGTTCGGCCGAAGATTATCTAAAACTGTTACCATATTTGAAACCGTTCGCCGGGTCCTGCTCGATGACACTCGGTCGACACAGCTAAATCGGTGCCATAGATAATCGATGCACCGACAAACGTATTGACCGGCAGGCGCGTTGTCCCCAGGCCGCCGTTCGAAGTGATAGAGATCTGGCTGGAGAGCATAGTGATGCACCTGTCGGGTGGCGGCGCGGCGCCGGGCGGGCTGCTCGCCGACGTGGCGCAGTACGCGCGCGCGCCCCACGCGCCCTGCGCCTGCCACCGCCTCAGCAAGGCCGACAGCGACCTGTGCGTGCCCGACGCGCCCGACGCGCCCGACCCAGAGGTGAGCCGCTCTACGCGTAGCCTCGCTTGCTCCGACGTTTCACACACTTCCTCTCTGTTAACGACGTCACTACCGAAGATTACAGGCCAGCTGGAGATGCAAAGATGTCACACTCAAAAAATTAAAGCTGTTGAGCTCATCCATATTTATTTAACCCTAAATATGTCTTTAAATAAATAAAATTTAACACACCTTTCGATAACATATTGTATACAACTTTCTCAAAAGCGTTCGATATCGATAACTATAATGTCCTGCATTAAGGAATTCTACGACGGTTACGAGTATGATTCCTACTCCAATCGAATCGGTATTATACTTACAAGATTGATCTCCGATTGCCATAGTAAGAGCTTTTAATCTTGAAACAAAATCATTTCATCAGGAGTACCACAAGGTTCTTACTTTGGTCCTGTATCTTTCTCTTTTCATCACGTGCTAATTTTGAAACTTCGTCTCTTTATCTTTTTTATACTTTGTTGTGAATATGCCTAGAAAAATGTAAATAATACAACTTCGTTTGTTTATATGATTGACCGAATCAAAACAAACACGGTACACTTAAAATTTTAAATAACGTTATGAGTCCTTTAAAAGCAGCAACTTGAGTGGTAAACGAAATTTTAATTATTTTATTTGTCACAGTCAAGCTCGAATACGACTCTAACGGTCCCTGAACGCGGCTGGCGAGCGTTAGGCAAGTGCATGTCGGCCAGTCATATCGGAGCCCGGCCTAGAGTCACTCTCACCAACCTCAGCAGGAGCCACCACGCTTTACATACCGCTGGGTACATACTTAGAGCTGACGGGAACACCATCAATATTACGAAGGTATATTATTTTAGTACTCTTTCCATCTGCCTCGGTGGCGCAGTGGTAGTTTATGCGACTGCTGTACTGAGGTCTCGGGTGCGATTCCCGGGTGGCACTAATTGTTTGTATGATCTGCAAATATTTGTTTCGGAGTTTGGGTGTTTTCAATGTACACTATGTATTTACAAAAAAAGTATATAAGTATACTATCTGTCAATCTAGCTTTCATAGTACAAGCTCTGCTTAGATTGAAACTAGATGGCGTTGTGTGTCAGATGTCCGAAATATTATTTTATCTTTATGCAAGGACCCAGGTAGATACTTTGACTTTTTACTAGTTCATATGATCCTAATCTGGATAAGAAATATCTCTTACACATCACAGTTTTTTTTAGAATCGAATCTTAACAAAATATATCACATAACAAAAATATAATACTGATTTTGTTTTAGGTTGACAATATATCCGAATGGTTGGACCCCCCGCCCCTCAAACGTACTAGCCCAGACTCACATCTCAACAAACTTGAAGAGCTCACCACCAAAACAAGGAAAGTAGAATCTCCCGACGAGACAGATAGCCATGTGCCTCCCTTTTGCAGAATCCAATCATTCGAAGAACTCGAAAGTGAGTATAAGCTCGAAGTAGATCCATCTCAACCTTTTTGTAGACATTATAGCATCCCACACAAGGAGGAAGAGAATCAAGAAGAAAATGAAGATTCAGACTCCTCAGACGATGACCTCACTAGAAGTACATGGCACAATAATGTGAGAGTCTTTGACAAAATAGATTTAGATCCCAAAGCTCTTATAGCCACTATTGTAAAAAAAAGTGAGAATATTAATCTTCTATCAAAGAAATCCAGTTACGATGTTACTGATGTAGTGTTAAGAAATGCTAAAACTAATGAACGAAAGATATCCGATCTTGACAGCCGCAGGTACAATATAGACCATTTGACAAAAAGCCCTATAATGGCGCAGGGCGTTAAAAACATAGCAAAGAACCTAGAAAAGGAGCAAGCTCAGGAAAAGTCTAGCTTCTTTCCCAAGAAGTTGCTATCGCCCAAATTCGGCAGATTATTTAAACCGAATACAACAGAAGTAATACGAAACAAAGAAGTAGATGATAAAGAAAAGTCCAGAAGTAAGTTCTTCGTCCAAAGACCAGCCTCACCTAGCAATATACGGTCTTACAGGATACGTCCAGCGGAATCAGATAAACCGGTCCTCAATAATGATGTTTTGAAGTCGGATATAAAATTGGCGAATATGGGTAAACCGATGACGCCAATATTCCGGCGGCATTTAGCCGAAAGACCGGATTTTGCTGATGGACGGTTTAGCTACAGAGACCGCCGGACAAAACCGGAAGATTTCAAATTTATCGAGTTAGGACGTAATAGAATTAAAACGCCTGTTACAAGTGTAGAAAAGACGACAAAATTAGAAAGGGCTACGCCTCTAATACGTAGTAGTCAAATCGCCAACATCCCCGCTTTGGCTACGGTGCCGGAGAAAAAGGGAGAAAAGTGTAAGACAGAGGAAGCGTCGCCTAAGAGACGTGAACCGGGCATTTCGCGCAGTAACTACGTGAGTCTGGCCAATCTGAAGATTAATGGTAAAGGTAAGGAAACGGTGAACGACCCTTCACCCGTTGAGAGGGTTATTTAGATAACTTTACTTGCAATGGCTGACTTGTGTGTTGTACGTGAATCTTAATATTGCGATTCAGGATTGTATGGGGCAATTGTATTGTTTAAAACACGTACTGTTAATCTAAGAAGCCAATCCAAGCCCCTCCCCCAATCCTCTCTCCCTCTAAAATAAGTCAGTCAGACGTATTTTCGATGTTCCGGTCCCTAACAATTAAGGTTTTATTATAAAATCGCAGTACCGGTACATGACCCCAGGCCTCTTCCACTTACTTCAGCCACAGTGCCATTTCTTATCCACGATTTGCTATATCCATTAACCAATCCCCCTCATTAACCGTTCCTAACCCCAGAGTATATTTAAAAGGAGGGTTGGACTTCTACTTTGGACTATTACAAATTGCGCAAACCGCATGATGATGAGGGGCGGACAAAACTTTTTTTAATTCAGTGAGGTGATTTGAACAGACTTTGTTGCAGGACGTGATTTGAACAATTTAGTTGTCACGTGACCACGTACAGTCAGCCAATGTGTCTGTTAATCTTGCCATATTATACGTACATTATATACAATTGTTGAACTTTGCACTTTCGAGTGCCATTTTTATACGTCTTTCTAAAAGCTTCACAGAAACGGTGTGACGATCGGAATATGTACCTTAACTCGTAAGGTGTAAGGTTTATTATATAATCGAATTTATGGAGTTGTAGTTATGTCGTTTGTTAATTGTTATTTTAAAGACAATAATTTTGAAGTGCTTGAGTTTGCTTAAGGATCTTGTTCAGTTGTACTGTAATATAAAATAATCATTTAGCATGTCCTGGCTTGTTGGTGTAGTTGTGTCTTGACTGCTAAGCCAATCAGGACATCTAAACTTGAGGGATTTGACCATTTGTTCTGTCTGGGTGTAATTTATCTATAATATGTTTAAAAATATATAAGTATGTTTATCAGCAGTCATGTTAGTATAGCACAGGCCTTCTCTAACTTGAGATTAGCCGTGTGTGGGATTTGGCAAGTTAATATTTTGACAGCTTTGTGAGTTACAATGCCTATGTATGTATATAAATTTGTATGTATGTTTCTACATTTGTACTGAGTTACTAGTACAATAAATAATTAATTGATTGTACTATATAATCCTCGAATATATATTTTATGCATAACTCTATGAACTGGGTGGCACAATATGACGGCTAAGGGCTTGATGAAAACAATAGCAAATCTGTTTTTGATATTTAGATAGTTACACTATCCTTTTCGACTCTTTCACAAAGATGTGTGATTTTTTTTTGATATCATTTTTGTCTTTCATAATTATGTTTCTATTTTTATTTTGATATCACTTAATTATTGTTTAAGTGCCACCCGGCTTTATTAAATTTTCAGATAGTGTCAATTAGTGAAAATATTTTACAATATGGCGCTATATTTGAAATGTCATTCGTGGAAATGAAAAATTAAATCAAATATTTTATATTTTGTTACTAGTCTGTAATTAATTTCCAAAATATTATTACCTTGAACAAATATTTCCAAATTTTGAATTTTGTCTTTCCATTATTCAAATCTCTAATTATTGACTAATTATTATTCTATCTTATATTAAAAATTGTTTTGATTTGAATGATGATCATATCATCATCATTATAAAAGTCAAAACTATTAGTCACAAGGTTCAAAACTGTTTCTTATGGAAAATGTACGTTCAAAATCCGCTTAAAAATAATCTCTCTATTTCTTGAAAACATAATTTTTACGCAAAATTTCGCCATTAAAAAGCGAACAGACAAACACGACTTAGCATTTATATAGATATGATTATACTATCGTAATATTATATAGTTATGAACATATACAAAGGTTGTTCTTTGCCAGTTATATTAAGATGCTTTTAAATTGTCTAGAAGATAGGTCTTGATAGTTAAAATATATTTGGGCAAACTGTTTTTCTCAGAGGATCTAATCTCTATAGCTCTCGCCAGTTATACGAACAATTTATTAGTGAATACTTGCCTATATATTGCTAAATTATATCAAATTGAATTTATAAACTAATGGTAAAAGTTATATTAATCAACTAGCCAACCGGCCCCGGCTTCGCATGGGTACAATTTTACGACATCACGTTACAAATCTTTGAAATTGTCGAATTTTCTCTACTATAATACGAGTACCCCTGAATCACTCTCTGCTAATGAAAACCGCATTAAAGTCCGTTGCGTAGTTCGAAAGATCTAAGCGTACAAGAAAAAAAGCGACTTCATTTTATACTATGTAAATATGCAATTGTTTTTGTCGTGGGAGGGCAGTACCTCGCCATAATGGGTCGTCTCGACCTTAGTAATACCACGGCCTCGCAGAAACCGGTGTTAGGCAATTATTTCGTTGCTTTTCACCGAGTAAGTGAGATTGGAAGCCGTACGACCTTCCTCCACCCATTCTCCCCCTTGACGCCTATTCCAGGGGGTAGGACATACAGGGTGGCAACGCAGATCTGAACTCAAGTGTGTGTCCGTGGGCGGCGCTGATCACTTCCTATCAGAAGACTCGTCTGCTCGTTCGCTCACTATTACATTTAAAAAAATCGGCTAATGCGCTAAATAACATTTAAAGTTGTATCTTGAAGTCTCACATCAACAGCCTTCAACAGCCCACTGCTGGACATAAGCCTCTCCTTAGAAAGGAGGTTTTGGCCTACTATACCACGCTGGCCAGACGGGTTGGTATAGGGTTTTTGTCAAGTTTTCCTCCCTGCAGTGCTGTTGTTCTTCGTAGTTTTTTTCCCTTAGTCGGCTCTTACGACACCCACGGGATGAATAGGGGTGGTGACACTCTGTATTCTTAATCCGTCACCACACGGACCTATTCTCTTTTGTTTTATACTCATTAGTTCATTTCTATTGGTCCGGGAATTTCTAGGGAAAATATTCTTGTTTTAAATCTTATAGTGAACCCAGTTCAAGCTGTGCTTAATTTGGATACTTCTTTGTAATATGTTACAGAATGTATTCGATAGCGTATATTAATTACTACGTATTATAAACAGTCCCATGAAATTCTGTCCAGCATTTTTGTAGAGAGCGCAAAGAGAAAATTTATTAGATGTATTGTCTTATACTTAGAGGATTATTCATTTTCACATAGTTTTTTTCTGTATTATCTAATATAATACTGTGTTATTTATATATGTATAACTTCGGCAATATTTATTAGATTATCCAAGTCTATGGATGGTTCGCACGGTTATTTAAAAAAAACATCATTGCGATATATTCCATTCTAATTTATTTCAAAAAGTTTTTGACTCTTATTATAAACAATACATCTACCTATATTGGTTTGTCTTCTTTAATTGCAATCATAAAGTAGTCCAAAATATTATTCAGACAAATATTTACCTAAGAATTTTTCTTTAAATTTCAAAATACGACAGTATATTTAGTAATACGACATGCTAATTACATTAATTTATTAACATTACTTTAGATTTATTTAGAAATAAGTTTATATTTTAATTTGTTTTTTGAAGTCTGATTTCAACTTTTGTGACACAGGGTGCCATTTTTACATAATGTAGTTTAAAAATCGTTGTATGGTTGAAGCTAAAGTTTTTTTATAAAAAAAGGGCAATTTGGTGAGACGTTTGGTAATTGCTATAATGATATGATCCAATGTATAGGTATTTACTAAGTGTACTCTTAATTTTTCTACTGCAGCAAAACGTAATTCTAAAAATCCAACTTTATCGCCTAATTTAGTTTAAAAAATATAATTTATCAAAGGAATATCATGCATACCGTGTAGTCTAAGCCTGTCCCGTAGTTTCAATTATACGATGTAAAAATTAACTCAAATCAGGTCGAAATCTCACAATTATTTCTCGTTTATGTCCGACAGTAGGTCGTGCTAATTTTTATATTATATCTGTGATACGTTTCGTTTAAAACGCTGCAATAACAAGTATTATAGGTGTCTTTTAGTTATTAAAACTTGAACTTTTTATAAAATTATTCAGTTTTAAGTTTATGATTGAACGCCAACGTCATTTACGACACTTCATTTCTAATACTACAACACGTAATGAACTGTCGTATTGGATACTCGATACGACAGTTCGTTACCGACCGTAAAAGATCGCTAAACAAACTTGTTTAGCGGTCTTTTGGAAGTGGATGTTATAACTTTAATCTTTTATTTTATACTGATTAAAGTATAAGGTGAAGTCGGTAAATGCTTGGCGTTCATAAAGAGATATATTAACACATTAACAATTGTAACATCGATTATTCCGTCTCCTGCATTCCAAGCGGTTTTGTATTTTTGTGTCTGTTTCTAAGTACAAATGAATAAAGGAATATATTCGGTATTTGTGTTTTTATTATTAACTAATTTAACCTATTTCCTCACTAAAATCTAGAGAAAGCGACAATAATATCTGCCACAGTGTCAATGTACCAATCGACAAATTTTAGTGAATTCAAGCTCTGACAAATTAAAAGTAATACCACCCACAGCCGCCTGATTAAAGCTGATTTTTTACTTATTTTTTTCTTTGATTGTACAAAAAAGTAAAATTCCTCTATCGCCACCAGTTGCGTATAAAGAAAAATATTTTCTGTAAAGCATCCGGTTACGAATTTAGGTGCGATGGCGGCCGGAGCTGATCGGCCTGTCATGAAATTCCTTTTCATTTGGTAAATGTAGGTTTTTTCTTGATTTAATCAGTTATTGCTAGGCGGATTGCGTAACAACTTTCCATTGAGCTGGGGCACGATAGATGGGATGAATTAATTACAACGGCTACGTCTCATATACACGCTAAATCTTTCTATTTTTTTTCTCTTTTTCTTTCTTACCTTTTTTCTTATTCTGAAATATCTATTATCCAAACTCCCACTGTTATCTAGCACTCTCATAAATGAGGTTTATAAAAATAAAACAAATGCCAACTGTAAAATATTATTTATTTGTAAACAAAGTCGAAATCGGATAATCAAATATATATCGTAACGATA